TAACAAGGTGACAAAGGCCCAAGAAGAGCCCAAACTGAACCAAAATCTAAAGATTTTGTTCTAATTTCTATCTTATTTTTCTTTTTTTATGGAGAGTATTCTTTTCTTTTGTTGGATTATAAAATGATATTTTAAATTATTTTAATTTACGGGATTTAAGGTTTAAATTTATATATTTTGGTCTATATTGAAAGCTTAAAGTTAAATGGAAAGGGAGCTGACCAACCTGATGTAATAATCGTTAGAACAACTTCAATGCATAGTGTGAAATTGAAGATGTAAGTGGACCCTTTACATGTACGCAATATCTTTTGGTGCATTCTACTTTTTAATATTGCCTTCCTCTAATTATTCTCTTATGATTCTTCATTTCTCAAAGTGTGTCAATTTTCCTTCTGAATTCGAATTTAAGCTTTGTTTCGACGGGAAATAGCAAGATAAGGTACTATTCTTGATGAATTTGCTATTGTGGGAAAACAGAGAAACAGAAAGGCATGGTAGAGAACGGGAGCTAATATTAAATTTTGCTTATAAGAACTTGAAAACACCACATATTGTTAGAAATAATAGCGTCAGTTACATCCAGAAAGACACAATATGAAACTTGACCGAAGATACATAGTGTACTTTTGTTCTGAAGTCTGAAATTCGCGAAATATCCACATGTTTCAACGTGTGATAAACTGTATATGCGATTTTGATAACATCCCGGAAGCTGTTCTGAATTCCTTACCCTGCAAATTAGTTTACTGGCATCTAAACTGACTGATCTGCCAAACCTGGTAAAGAAGATTACAAAAATAACCAGGAGACTTGTAAGTTGCTTTTTCAATTCATAATTTCATATCACAAAAGTATGGCCATGTTTTATTTTTCACTTCCAATTGTCTGTATTTAAAATGTGATGTGCACAGTTAACATCGAATGTTGATGGATAGCGGGGGAAGCAATTGCGTTGGTCCAATATGTCCAAGCAACAAGGAGATACATAGGAAATTGATCGGTGAAACTTTGGTTGCACAAAAGAAACTGTAAATGGTATCATGATATTACCTCATCGACTAAACCACTTTCAACCAGAACCAGAAATCAATCTGAGTTTTTAGAGATAACCTGCAATTTCAGAACCTCTGAAATCAGATTCATAGCCATCTATAGTATAGTACAAGGAAATCAAGGCACCACAGGTAGAGGATAAAGAAAAATGTGAGAGTACATAGTTGATAAGTAAGACTGATGAACATGCATATTATAAGCTTACCTCTAGTATTAATGCTTTGGCATGCTCTTCCCACTCAGTAGCCCACCTCCCAGATGAAGCCATTTCCAATGCACCGTTCCTGAGAACCTTCAAGGAACCACATGCCTCTGGAAAACCCTTGAACAGCATCTGTACAGGTTATAAGAGAGATATTATCACGAAGATGGTGCACTAAACAGTAATCCAAAGTTTTGAGTCGTTGAAGTTAAGCAAATTACGTTAATATTGCAGTGGTTAGTCTACCATGCATATTAGTTTCATCTATTAACCACCATGACATCCACTAGGAGACACCAAAATATATATGATTTGCATTCTTTTTTACTGCATTTCATGCATTTCAAGTTACATGAATTGCATATGAGGTTTGTTACGCAAGTATTAATTGTTACAATCATTTTAAGTAGCAGTTGAAACATCCCGACAGAGAAACAAGCAAGCTGGCCAACTTACCAAAAGTTCATCCGCTAGTTCTGAAGACGATGAAAACAGAAGGCCGTTTTTCTCAACTTGCACTAGTTCCTTGATGCTTTGAAAAAAGATTACCATAACCAAGGACATCAGATTTTAATGTACAGCATCCCCAAAAGTCCATATAGAATGTCATAATAAGTAAGATTCCTATCGCATAAAGAAAGTAATTAATAAAAAAATGAGTTTACCATGAGTAGGAAACAGCACAAACTGGCAGTCCACAGCCAAACATGTCCACGACCTACTGCCAAAAAATGTACAATAACGCAAAGTGAAAAGCAGTTAGAGAAAATTCATATTGTTGTAGATCTATTCTAGTGCAGTATTCAGTTTACCCCTTACCTTCATGGGAAGATCCAACCCTGATGAGGACGTATGCAAGCATACACCAAGATCCGCTGATCCTGCAAATGTAAATAAATATATAACACTGAATACTTTTGGAAGAGCATATAATGTGCAAGGAACAATGGGGACAAAGCACAAGCAATTGAAAATAAAAGACCTACCAAGAAGCAATGGATAGTCCTCAGCAGACAACCACATAGTACGAAATGCCACGCGTTTGAGGTGTAATCTGCTAATTTTTTCTTCATATTTTTGCTTTTCGGGCCCTTTACCTACACGAATTAAATCAGTATGCAAGTGCGTAAGATGACCCCTCTCTCTCTCTCTCTCTCTCATAACAGATATGCAAGGCTAAAAGGAACCTGACATCCTAGAACAAAGAAATAGTTATACTCACCAGTAATGACAAATAACAGCCTAGGGTATAAGTATTGCTTCCCACTATGAATATCCTTCCAAAGAACCTCTTCTTTAGTAGAATCTTCTTCATTTAAAATAGCAGCAACACGCCTGTCATACATGACAGCTGCTTCCAAGAGAATTTCAAAATCTTCGTCAGGAGTCCTGTAAAGAACCATTCAAAAAGACAAATAAAAATTGAAAAATCAAATGTTTTAAACATGGGGTTTGTCTTTCACGTTACATCAAAGTATTCCACTGAATATTAGCTCACCAGCTTGTACTGCTAACTATGAGTGCTGGCCTGTGTGGCTTCAAAGTAACGTCAGTACCAACCAGAGAGGTAAATAGAGTATCGTTTATGTCTGTATTCACTTCCCCTGATCCTGTTAGATAAATGTTAACATATTCAAAGAACATTACTAATCGATGAAGGGCAGTCAAGAAGCAAATTATAAATTTAAAGAAACTGATTATTATTACCAGTGCTAGTGCAATCATGAACACCAAGTGGCTGCCTTAGATTTTTATCTAATCTGCAGAACAACTGCAGATAACTCACATGTTATACCAAATTCTCCAAACCAAAAAAAAAGAGTCAAAACAAGCTCAGAATTAGGCATTCAAACACCTTATGCTTTTCTTCAAGTGAAGCAGGTCGGAAAAACTCAGGAGGCTGATCATATAAAACTGTGGCTCTATCAATTTGGAAGACAACAGAAGACAAGTAAATATATATCACTTGATAATGAAGTTTTGTGAAGTAGCAATAAATTGTGAAATATTGAGCTGACCGTCTTACTTAATTCCCCAATTTTGAGCCAATTCATGTTGCATTGCCCTCGTTACACATAGGGAACCATCTGCCATCTTCCCGAAATACCTCTCAAACCTAATCAGGAAAGAGAAACTCAATCTACTGCACCACCAAAAATATGGCCTCAAAGAAAAGTCTAAAAAAATTCAATAGCTACCAACGGTATATTGCCACAAATCTACTACTTCTTCCAAGAGACAATGCCAGTAAAGTATATCCAAAATTATGCCAGTCAACAATAAAGGCAGATTTCCTAAGCCAGCTTGCCCATTTTACAGCCATTAAGGTTGGAACAGAGGGTGGATTCTGCACAAGCAAAATGAATCATAGGGTTTAGAGAAAGAACGTTCACATTCAATTCACTTACTCTAAAATCTAAATACAAAATTCAGGAACCAACTGAAATTTGTAGCCTAAAATTTGCAAATGGTTGGCACTTGGCAGCTAATTAATCAAATTTGAAAACTTGTCAAAGAGAAACAATTAAACATTGTCTAGTTTATAAAAAGCTTCTGCAACTTCCCAACTGGACCAGTACAAGCTCACCTGAACTAGATAAACATCGGGAGCAGGTATCTTAATGCAAAGAAACCAAAGAAGCATTATAAACTGAGTCACTGCCTTGATCAAAAGCACGAAGGGTCTAAGTATGTTGGGCAGGCCACGCGTAAATGTCTGCCACTGCTGCTGCCAACCAGAATCACAATAACTTTAATCTTGTGGACGACCAAAAAATTCGATAGTAAGATACTGCGGTAAAAAGAAAATTGCACTTCAACAATAACTACCATTTTGTGTATGTGAATGGACTGATGTTCAAGTAGAGCGGAATGGGGTTCGGAACCTGTCCAAACATTCCAACTCAAATCCAAATCAGCACTATGAGGTAACATTTAGATTCAAATTTGCTCAACAATGCACATAATTCTACAATCAAAGCAAAAGATGTACCTCCATATGCAACAATATCTACCTCCAGAGAAGCCTGAGACGCACATTCAATAGAAAAAATCACAAAAAGGTCCAAATTTCTCATGAAAAAGAGCAATTCCGACTTCAAAACACATTTCAAAAGCACAAAATGGAAAATTAAGAATTGGGTTGTTGCTAAATCAGCTGTAGAAGTTCAGGCGGGGGCGCTTACCTGTCGGGCAAGCGAAAGAGCGTGATACTGCATACGGGGGCTCCGCCCAATATCGCCCAGCACCACCACGCACGCCCGCCCTCTCTTCCCTCCTGCAATCAGAAATCCCAAACTCCTCAGAAATCTGCAAAGAAACGAGCTTTCGAGAAAAAAGAAAGAACGAAAAAGCTTGCCTTTGCCGGCCATGGTTCTCTGTTCCGCTTGGATTCTGATCTCCGACGGAGAGAGTGGTGCCAACTGCCAAAGGTGCAGACTTGCAGTTGAAGTCATGAGGAAGACGAAGGGAGAGAGAGCGAGAGTCGTGGGATGTCAAGGCGGGCCGGTTAACTGGGCTTGGGCGACCCAATTAGACCCAATTTCGCACGAGAAATAATAAAATGGGCCTACCCTTACCGGGTTTTCTTTCTTTTGGATTTGAACCATAAGAATTCACACTCATCCGAGATGCTTACTGACTCGGCGTCACCACCCATCCTCTCAAGCCGCGAGCTTTCGCCATTGTTAGGGTTCCGAATTTGCTTGCTTTGATCAGGACAGTGGAGGTTCCAAGGTGTTTTCTTCACATTCATTACATATTTTCATCTGGGTTTCAATAGTCTTGGTGTTTTGTGATTGGATTGTGTGCTTTTTTGTTGAATTGAAAAGCTATATGCTGTTAATTGTGGTGCAAAATTGTTCAGTTGGGAATTGGAGTTTTCTCTGCTGCTATATAATGTTTAGAAGTTTATTGGATTATGTTGGTGAAGAAATGGATGCGTTATTTGTGTAAAAACTTAGCTTAGCTTAATTTCATGACTTTGGGTCGGAAGGAAGTTGAGGTACCATTGATTGGCAGTTTGGGAAGTATCCAAGTTTTGTAAGCACCTGCAAGGTTTGGTAAACTTCCGACGGCGGGCATTTGTTCACATCCTCACATGGTCCGTCTAGAATCTAGATGAATACTCTATTCTCTTTGACTTGTTCAATTTGATGCTATAGAAATTCATTGGTTCCATTGACTTTTTCTGGGTCAATCTGATTTGTGCATTTTTTGTGTACTCTTCATTTCTTGTGTGTTTTGTGATGAAATCAGGTGAACACAAATATCACTGACTCCCAGCGCTGAACGGTATGGTAACTTGAGGAGAGCCCGTTCCCAGTGATTGCATCGGGTTCTCTGGTTTTTGAAAATTTTCGAAGTACATTTCCAGACTTTACACTGATCTGTGGTGCCTTCTCCTCTGTGATAAAATCGGAAAGCAGACTGAATTGTTTATCCAAAAAAAGTTGAGGAAAATTAACAGAACCAACCATGCAAACCGCTTCATATCTTCATCCGTTCTCTTATTTTGCTGACAGGTATCTAATTTTATGAATGTTCTCATCTCATTGTTTTTGTTTCTGTGTTCATTTTTTTTTTTAAGTTTCAATTAAAGTCTTGAAACATATTTCAGAAGAAGCCTTTTGAAACCAGATGGGTGGAGTAAATCACAAACCTCATATTCAAGTGATCTTGTCAGGAGAGTTCTGATTACTAGAAGACCTCAGACATGTAAGTTTCTCTTGCCTAAGCAACAAACCAGATTGTTTGCAATTCCCAACATAGATGATGGCCACCCTTCTGCCTCTGTGTTAGAAGATTCAAATACAAATCATGCACCCAATTCAGAAGCGAAGACGGTGTTGCACAAATGGTCACCTCCCACGTATATGTGGAGGGGGTTTTCAGCTCTTATCCTGGCAGGACAGGTTATTTTGAGAACTTTGAAGGGCAAAGTGCACTGGGGAAATACACTTCAGCAATTAAAGAGAGTTGGGCCAGGTTCAGTCGGGGTCTGTCTCTTGACTTCAACATTTGTTGGCATGGCCTTTACGATCCAATTCGTTAGGGAATTTACTAGATTAGGGTTAAGCAGAGCCGTTGGTGGGGTTTTAGCACTGGCTTTCTCAAGGGAGTTGAGTCCTGTAATTACATCAATCGTGGTTGCTGGGCGTATTGGAAGCTCATTTGCTGCAGAGTTGGGAACAATGCAGGTTTCTGAGCAAACCGACACTCTGAGAGTTCTTGGGGCTGACCCGGTTGATTATCTTGTGACTCCAAGGGTGATTGCTACATGTATTGCTCTTCCGTTTCTGACTCTAATGTGTTTCTCAGTAGGGATGGCATCCAGCGCCCTCCTTTCCGATGGCATTTATGGTGTTAGCATCAACATTATATTGGATTCAGCTTGCAGAGCTCTCAAACCATGGGATATAATTAGTGCAATGATCAAGTCACAGGTTTTTGGTGCGATCATATCGATTGTGAGTTGTGCTTGGGGAGTGACCACTATGGGAGGAGCCAAGGGTGTTGGAGAGTCAACAACTTCGGCTGTGGTTATATCTCTTGTTGGGATCTTTATCGCAGATTTTGTACTCTCGTGTTGTTTCTTCCAGGGAGTTGGAGATTCATTGAAGAGGCTCTAAGTGGTTGTTGATAAGCTAAAGGAGAGGCTGAAGCAGGAAATAAATCAAAGTATGTATTCTTGGCTGCGTGACATTTTCGCACAATGGCAGGTCAGCTTGTAGTACTCCTTGATGGTTGTTGAGGCATTATACAGAGGAATATATATTGTTTTTCTCCCCCCATCATTCGTTAATGCCGAATGCAGTGAGGAGAGCAGTTTTTGGAGTAATTTTGCATTAAGAATCACAAAAGACGACCTGAAGTATCTCATTGCAAAGTAAGCGGGCTCGGCGTTGAGAGTCTTGATGTAGGGTTTTGTACATCTCCTTTCACTGTTAATCGTTGTGAATTTTCTCTTAAAATAGCAAAACAACGTTGTTAAACGAGGCTATTGGAGATGCTCTTAGCTTTCCGCCATTGAAATTTCCAATTTCGACACAAGTTATATCATGAAAATTTCGTTTTGTGACATTTACTGCCTAGCTAAACTAACTTTTGCACAAAAACACCACATTTCAGGGAGACTTAACGATTTCCCGTGACTTGCATGTGACAACTATTATTTTGTGTTACTTTACCACCTTAATGTTTTTTTCGTGCCAGATTGCTACCTGAATTTGTTTTTGCATCAAAACTACATGATAAATCGTATCTAAGATTGTTTTGGTCAAAACTAAAAGAATCAACAATGAGGGTTTCGAAAATTATTCCCCAAAACTTGAATGCCGTTTAGAGGTAAAACGACACAAAAACGGGTTCAGGTGGTAAAGTCACACAATATAGTGGTCGCGTGACTATTTTTAACGAAAATTTCTACAATCTGGACATTATGTGGTATATCAGAATCATTTAACTGCAGCAAAGGAGATTGTCGTAATAGTTATATGACGATCGATATTTCTGTTTAATGGAAAAAATATACAGTGAAGGGCAGCAGCAGTAGCCATGGAAATATTATCTCACCGTCCAGCATCATTACAGAAAACGCAGAAATAATAAGGAATCCAAGAACAAAGGCAGGCTGTGGAACCGATCACATCAACTCTCAGCTTGTAAAGGTTTATCCACCGCCATTCATTTGAATGTTTCTATAACCTTGGCTGATGGCGAGGGCGAGGAGCGTCCCAGTCAGTCACAATGTGATCGCGGGTGATCTCTTTGAGCGAACGGCATCCACTTAATGCCATGGTTAGCTCAAACTCTTCGCGCAGCATTTGGAGTACCTTTCTAATGCCAGCCTCTCCTTCAGCAGCGAGAGAGAACACCACAGGGCGCCCAATCTGCGAGAGAAGCAAGTCTCAGTATGTTTTGATAGACAGTATAATCTTTTCGCGGAGGGGGTGGGTGAGTAATATATGGATGGAATAAGTGCTTCTACATGGAAAAATCATGATCAAAACTTGACTTACAAATATGCCAGAGGCACCCAAAGCTAATGCTTTGAAGACATCTGTTCCTCGACGGACACCACCATCCAAGAAAACAGGAATGCGTCCTTGTGCACCTTTAACAACCTAGTTGTCAAGACAGCGCCGCCATGTCAAAACATTACGAAAACTAGGATGGTATAGGTGCATGTTTACTTAACATTTAGGAGATGCACTACAAACAGCTAAAATCAAGTTTCTGTACCTCTTCGAGGGCCATGATAGTCGAAGGGACGTAATCAAGTTGGCGAGCTCCATGGTTGGACACAATAATCCCAGCTGCTCCAGCTTGTACTGCAATCCTTGCTGCATGATATGAGCGTAGAAGAGTTATACAAGCATTACAAACCTATCATAACGACGGAGAGAAAAGGAGCTCAAATACATACCATCTTCGGCAGTGAGAACACCCTTAACTAGGATAGGCAGTGAAGTGATTGTCTGAAGCCACTGCACATCCTGTTGAAATATCGGGGCAGATCATTAGATGCATATCAACTTTTTATTCAAAAATAAGGCATACATGCTGAGAAAACATCGCTTCCTCACAAACATCCAGCTGGATATGCCCAGCCAAAACACCTTCATTATTTTAAATTTGCATACTTTTCATCAAAAGATGGAAGAACCTACATTTGTACTTTTCAATTCGTTCTATTGAATGATCTAGAAATATTACACTTTTGTTGATATTCCATCCTTTTATTTTGTTGGACTCTTTTTAAACTTAAATGATGAAGGCTAAATAACTTGTGACACCAAGTTGTAAATTTTCCACATTATGAGCCTTGCTTAGAAGTTCATGTATCTCGACATTCGGTGTTATCTGACATACCTTCCAGCTAAGAGAACGATCGATTTGACCAGCAACGTATGAAGCAAGTCCAGAGTCAGCAGCCTGAAGGAGCCCCACACCGCAAATTAAACATAAAAGACATTATTCTGAAAATTAGGACAGCACAGTTTATACTCACTTTGTCCATCTTTCCGAGGTCCAAACCCTCAAAGTTCTTCAGTGTCAAAAACGGAGGCAAGGTAAATCTGCAAGGTACCAAATAAGAGGTATTAACAAGATTAAACTCTTCCACATGTTAAGCTTGCATCAAATGCCGAACTGAATTAGTCTTATTGAACCGATGAAAGTAAAAACACTCACACGCACACGCACATGCACATATACAAATCTTCACCAAATTTATTTATTTATCTTACTAGGTTGATATGAATGTTTTGACCAGCTGATATTGCTATAACAGTTATGGACATGAAGTTGACCTGTTCTTGATGTCAGCTTCTCTGCGACCGAGCCTTGGGGTATCAACTGTAAGAGCAATAGCCTTGAACCCAGCCCTTTCAGCTCTTCTCACCAGCTGAGCAACCACATTCCTGTCCTTGTAGACCTTATAATAATGACCAGCAAAACATGGATCGCATAAGGCAAGGAAACATTTACTCAAAAGTCATAACTCAAGACCAGGGACAATTGGGTGTCGTAACTAACGAATAGAAATGAAATTAGTATTTAAGCTTACATAGAGCTGGAAGAAACGGATTCCAGGTCCAGTTGAAGCAACCTCTTCAACACTTGAAGTAGCCCATGAAGATAAGGTCTGAAACAATCAACACGGGGTAGAAGTAAAGAACATAGACAGAACTTGTAATATAAGAGCAAACCAACATGTAAAAATCCGATAAATAAAATAAGTGTAGGTCAGCTATTGAAGACAATTGATCAAGGTCAACAACGGTACCATAATTGTTCCTGCAGCTGATGCTGCCCTCGCAGTAGCATATTCACCTGCAAGAATTCTCATATCATCGTCAGATGGATACCATGGCTTCCTTGAAGAGTATTAGGCATGACACTGGATGCCATTTTACAATGGATCGAAAATCCGATGTTTGTTCACCCTTTGTACAATTTTCTCATTGTTTTCTCAAAAAAATTTACACAGATTAAAAGTGTTCTCAAGCTCAGCACACTGTATGGGGGCTATCCATGTTGTAAGTATATTAATCATGTAACCCCGTGGTGACTTATATGATCAAGGTAAATCTTATGTTGTCAATAACTTACATGGGGTAAAGATGATATTAATACACATGATACAGTCCAATTCTAAACGCAATATCCAAATATCAGCTCAAGAGCAAGGAGAGATGGCTCACCATTCACCAGTTGCGCTATGTTCTTCCCAAATGAAAAACTACTCAATCTTAATAACGTGAATCAATAGCATACCTTCAGGATGGGCCATTTTCTGCATGGCTGTTGGGGCAATCATGATGGGCATTGAGATCTTGAAGCCCAAAACAGTGGTGGTCATGTCTATGCGGCTCACATCAATGAGAATACGGGGTCGAAACCTATGTTTGATGACAATACGTTGTTTCATGAGAACTCCAAAGCTGATACTTTATACAGAAAAAAGGGCACTGCTAGATAAATACCATCGAGTACTACTTTATAGTTTTTACTGAGTATCTCAAGATAAAGATTGAATTCTTACAGAATTCTCGCGAAAGCATTTCTGTTTTCAGCAAGAGTCCACTGGTCCTCTGCTCCTGATGCATAGTAGTCATAGACCATCTTTGGCAACTTCTCCTTTGCGATGGCCTCATACTCGCTGACGTTGGTAATCTCCATTTTACAAGTTGACGGTCGACGCTTCCCTGAAAAATATGTATTTAACATCAACATCATGCTAATGAGATCATATTCTGGATGCGGACACAGCTTGTTCTTCCCCTTTTCTCTTTTTCCAGAAGTTAGAAACAAGAAAGTACTCAAATATCAGAGGAAGTTAAGACACACAAATTTGCATTAAGAAACAGTTCTTGCACTCGCACTCGCACACACACATAAGGCACTAAACTGAATCAAAATCATTGATCATATGTACTCAGGTTGTCAATAAAAGATAGGTTATGTCCCCATGTCAGCTAAACTACTTTCTTGCTTAAGGTAGATACTAGATTAAGAAGAATAATATTGGGATTACGAAGAATAAAATTGATATATATAAAAAGGACTGAATCCACTGCAACCTACTGCATCTCGAGTTTAAACCCTCCCCTCACCTTAGTGTAACTTAGAGTAGTAGTAACGCTCGTAATAAGAACAAAAAAAAAAAAAAAAGACTAAACCCAATTCACTGTTAAGGAAAATACAACCAGGGCATGCTCAATTCCCCACTTTAATTGGTTCCAAAAGCATAAAAAGCCATTACGAAGTGAGATTGCAAAACTCACTTAAAAAATTGCACCAAGTTACAATCTTTCTGTTTTGTGGGCAACAAGTTATAATCTTTCCAAGCAAGTTTGAGAATACTAGTAAAAGAAAGAACACAGAATTTAAGAGGAGAGAGAAGAAAACCTGAAGTTTGAGTCCAAGACTATGCAACAAAGTGCATCAAGAGGAAGCAGTGCAAAATAGATATAGAACAGATAAACAAAGAGATTATAAGTATGAGGTTGCATGCAGACAAACTGGGTGGGGCTCATATATTCTTGAGAGAGAGAGAGAGAGAGAGAGAGAGGGAATGGATGAGCATTTGGAGGTGGGAATTGGAAACCAAATCGGATGAGGGGAAGAGAGAGAGAGGGTGTCATCCACAGAAGCCTTGTGTGTTTCACAGTTTTCCTCTTGCATTATGATTTTCTGAACCCCAAAAAATGAAATTTGGATAATAAAGATTTGTCCTTTTAATTGAAAAATAGACAATTTAAGGACAAGTGACAAATTTCCCTCCTTTTTATCCTTCTTCTGTGTTGTCATGCTTGATGTTTGACTTCTACTTCCAGCCAAAGATGACTGGTTACTGGTGTGGTGAGTCTGGGAAGACTGGAATGCAACTGCAGTCGGGTCGTCTTTTAATTGGGTATGGGTCGAGAACCAGAGGTCCAGCACAAAGTATGATTGAATTTGACAAGTAATATGGGCCTATCAACCCACCTCATCCCCTCTCAAGGCTTCGTCAAATTTTACGTTAAGTTCATTTTCACTTGTAAGTGAAAAAGTATTATGTTAGATTTTTATTAAAGGAAATTTGAACTAAATTATTATGGCTAGCTCAGTGTAAGGCTTAGTCCACCCTCATCTATTAGTGTAGATAATATCGTACGTATTAAAAAAAAAAGTGATATAATTCAGGAAGTGATTTCACAGTTTAAATGTCAAAGCATAATAGACTTTCCCCCATCTCATAGTTTAAAGTCAATTTTTGTGCCAACTTTATAAAATATTGTTTCACTTTTAAGAGATTCCTCTTAGCATTTCTCATCAAACAAAAGTGTGATATACTTTTATTAGTGACTTCATAATTTGACTCAATCAACAACGCGATATAACTCTATGAATAAGATAACGATAACAACAACAAACGATTATAAATTTCAGCAAAAAAAAAAAACGATTGTAATAAATTATTTTAATTCTTATAAGACTTAGTACTGGTTTGATGTTGAAGTGCTTTTATAAAAAAGTGGGTATTAAAAAAGATCAGCTCAAAAATATGTTTGGTAAACACTTCAAAACAGTTTATTTTCACAATTTTTTGTGAAAAAAACTAAAAACGTGAAGCAGCAAAAATAAGTTTATTCTCACGTCACAGCAAAAACAAACCTTTTTTTTTTAAACAGTGCAATACCAAACCAGAGTATATATTAAAACCATTGATTGACAATGTGGTAGGAAACTCATCGTTACCGTGAAAAGTTGTTATTTGGCACTATTTTGCAAATTTGAAAGTCAATACCGTTTCCAACATTTGTGGATTTAGCACTGCACCGTCAAAGGCTCAAAGCTGCTTTCTTTGCGCTCCAAAACACGCAGAAAACTGCATTCCCTCGTATGTTTTGTTATTTTTCACTTGGGTTTTATGGATTATTACTTCAATCATAGCGTCAGTGATGCGTGTTCACCAGGTGTTTGTAGAAATGCCCAACAGAAGTATAAAGAGATAGAGAAAGAGTGTGTCTGCTGTTTGGTTTTACGCTATTACTGTTGTTATGTATTATCTACTTCTTCTTCTTACCATAACAAGCATTGATCTGCAGTTTGCCACTCTGTTATTGGAATCTGCTCCACACTTTGCCTCTATGGGGAGCAGCAACAGCTTGGGGATTCATTCTTGGTCTATCTTAGCGCCTCAGCGGGTAATTCTTCCGCAAAAATCCGTACCAAAGTCCCATTCTTTGTCCCCAACTGTCACCGTTTCTAGCATTGCCACCAACAAGACCTGCTCTGAGAGGTACCCAATACCAAGAGGTTGCTTGGGATTTGCTGCATTCACCAGAAAGGTAAATAAGACCATAAGAGGATGTGCTACCAGCCCATTTGTTGTTGCCAATGATGAAAAGTATGGAAACAAGCAGATTATCAGTATTACTCCACGCCTTTACGACTACATCCTTGCCAATGTTCGAGAGCCAGAGGTATAAATGAACCCAATTTCGATTTCATTTCACTTTATTCGGCACCTTAGTTTTCTTTTTTTTTCTTTTTTCTTTTTTTTTTGAGTTCTTTTACATCTGCATTTTCTGTACGGGTTATCTTGATCACAATTGCATTTCAGGTTCTACAACAACTTAGGGAGGAGACTGCCTCTATGCGTGGTAGTCAGATGCAGGTACTTGCTACTGTTACTCATTCCTTTTTATGTAACATGGACATTGATAAGATATAGGTGAAGGGAAATGCTGGTTTTTAAGGTAGCTAGCCAGGACCCTCTTGAAAACAATTGAAACTTTTAATTGACAACCAAAGTTAACTGCCTTCGACTGTCTGATGTCTTCGTACTTCTTCTTTATATTGCAACACAATTTGACAGTGTGGTGCTCTCTGGATAGGTGTCTCCTGATCAGGCTCAACTGCTTGCAATGCTTGTGCAGATTCATGGGGCTGAAAAGTGTATTGAAGTTGGCGTTTATACCGTATGTATCCCTTCTCATTCTAACTTAATTGTATTGCAACTTAACAGGCTTCCTGCTACTTTGTTCTAAATTTCTAATCGCACATTCCCTTTTGGGTATATTATAGTAATTATACCAATGTCTCTTGAGGCATGTGTCTCACTTTGGTCTTCGACATTCAATTTGACTCCCATTGCCCCTTGAACTTCATTCGACTTACTAAAGTGGCCCTTTCTATTGGATCTTTTATACTTTCGATAAATATTGGTCATACACCAATCACATTACCATTTTTTGAAAGATATAATCATCAGTTGAACTTGAAACCCAATATATTAACTGAAAGACACAAAGTCAAAAAAGTCAAAAAAGCAGATGCGTATGGTGAAATGTAATTAACATTGACATTCCTTGACTACTCCCTCTGTTTCCCTCATTTTCTTCTCTTTTCCTGTTTCTTAGTCTTTGTTACTGGGAGAGCAAGAAGAGACAAGAATAGCTCTCACGTTCATGTGATGAACTAGCCACATCTGATATAATGGTTACTGTTTAATTCAGGGATATTCATCATTGGCTATTGCACTGGCTCTTCCAGAATCCGGTAGGTTAGTAGCCTGCGAAAGAGATTACAGAAGTCTCGAGGTGGCAAAAAAGTATTATGATCAAGCCAATATTTCCCACAAGGTAGTATGTCTTCCACTCATCAGTACTGTCAATGAACTGTATAGGAATATAACCCCACAACTATGTCGAACTGTTTTTCCTTATACTTCATTTGACACAACACTGAAAAGGCTAATTTGGTATTAGGTGCATGTTAAATATGGACTTGCAGCAGATTCCTTGAGATCATTGATTCTGAACGGTGAAGCATGTAGGTAATGTAATGAGCAATGTTGAGAAGCACGATGCATATAATTGTTTCATCTGAGCGTTTTGAAGAAAGTTTGTGGTTCAGATTTTGTGAAATTTTTGGAGAAGAATTAAATAATAATTCTCTTCTTGTCATCATGCCGTTGCATTTCATATTGTTCTTCTTGAATTACTGGCTCGACGTGTTTCCTCTTTGAATCCCCAAATGTAACCTTTGTTTTGTTTTTTGTTATCTCTTCAATGTTTTTTGTTTACTCTCTTTCTTTGAAAAAATGAGCTTAATGCATCAATCATTTTAGCTCACTTTTAGTCATAAGGCACCATAATTACTGTAGTAACAATTTTCACATGTTTACTCTGCCATGCAGCTATGATTTCGCATTTGTTGACGCTGACAAGAAGATGTACCAGGAATACTTTGAACTGTTACTACAACTTGTAAGACCGAAATAATTTCTTTTAAGATTCAAACTTGTCGAATTTCTCTCCTTTTCTCCTTTATCATTTGGTTTCTTTGAGCAATGAGCAGTTTGCATGTTGGCTTGGTCTCTTGTTTCAGGTGAGAGTTGGGGGTCTAATTGTGTTCGATAATGTCCTCTGGCACGGAAAAGTTGCTGACCCTGAGGTGAATCAATAAACAGGTTTTATTAACTCCTTCCCCTAAAATGAACTATGCTGAATGTTTTCTTTTCCCTGCAGGTAAACGATGCCAAGACTGTCAGCATCAGAAATTTCAATACAAGTATAATGGAGGACAAGCGTGTAAGCATTAGTATGGTAAGTTCTATCACTTGCATCTTCATTCGTAAGAAAGTTCAGAGATCTTTTGTTTGTTGTTCGATAACCCTAAATCCTTCGGAGTGTCAGGTACCCATTGGAGATGGCATGACAATCTGCCGAAAAAGGTGACCTTGTAACAGAAAGTTGATGCAGTTCTAGACTTAAGCGACCAATGCCATACATAAATTAGTGTGTGCAGAAGTTTAGCAACAAGGAAAACGCATGTTCAGTGTTTTCAAGAAAAGTAAATCGAGGGAAGACGGCTACCATGGCATGTGGTATGGTGGTTGAAACTGAGGATGGAAGTTCTTACTTCAACAGGTTAGGCCTTTAGCTCAAGGCCAAACATTCCGAAAGCAGGAAATTTCGGTGTTTGGGAGCGGCAGAAGAGAAGGGATTTCTAGCCATTGGATGCATTACAACATGCCATTGTATCTTGTTTGGTAAGGTGTTCATGAATCGTATTGGATAATGTATGCACATAACGAGAAGATAAAGTCATGTATTGTATACCAGTTTAAGAAAAGCCGGGATTGTTTCTAGATTTGGATTGGATAGGATATCTGATAAAATTCAAGATATGTTGATGGGGGGATTGTTTCTAGAATTGGATTGGATAGGATATCTGATAAAATTCAAGGTATTTTGAAGGCGGAATTGTTTCTAGAATTGGATTGCATTGGGTATCTAATAAAATTTAAGGTATGTTGAAGGCAAAAATATTTGATAAAATTCAAGGTATGTTGTAGGGGGGATTGTTTCTAGAATTGGATTGGATAGGATATCTGATAAAATTCAAGGTATGTTGAAGCCAAAATTGTTTCTAGAATTGGATTGCATTGGATATCTAATAAAATTTAAGGTATGTTGAAGGCGGAAATATCTGATAAAATTCTAGAATTGGATTGCATTGGATATCTAATAAAATTTAAGGTATGTTGAAGGCGGAAATATCTGATAAAATTCAAGGTATGTTGAAGGGGGGATTGTTTCTAAAATTGGATTGGATAGGATATCTGATAAAATTCAAGGTATGTTGAAGGCAGAATTGTTTCTAGAATTGGATTGCATTGGATATCTAATAAAATTTAAGGTATGTTGAAGGCAAAAATATCTGATAAAATTCAAGGTATGTTGAAGGGGGGATTGTTTCTAGAATTGGATTGGATAGGATATCTGATAAAATTCAAGGTATGTTGAAGGCGGAATTGTTTCTAGAATTGGATTGCATTGGATATCTAATAAAATTTAAGATATGTTGAAGGCGGAAATATCTGATAAAATTCAAGGTATGTTGAAGGGGGTATTGTTTCTAGAATTGGATTGGATAATATATCTGATAAAATTCAAGGTATGTTGAAGGCGGAATTGTTTCTAGAATTGGATTGCATTGGATATCTAATAAAATTTAAGGTATGTTGAAGGCAAAAATATCTGATAAAATTCAAGGTATGTTGAAGGGGGGATTGTTTCTAGAATTGGATTGGATAGGATATCTGATAAAATTCAAGGTATGTTGAAGGCGGAATTGTTTCTAGAATTGGATTGCATTGGATATCTAATAAAATTTAAGGTATGTTGAAGGCGGAATTGTGTCTCAAATTAAATTGAATTGGGATATTTGATAAAATTCAAGGTGTGTTCAAGGGATTTGAGTTTGATTCCTTTATAATCCTACCGTATTTTGTGGGGTTTGAGAAATAAGTTTTATTAGCTAGTAGTTCACTTTTGAGCTTGCCAAAATTTCTTCATGTCTTCCTTCCACATACATACATTAAATATAGCAAGTTATCCAATTTAATCTTCAATACCAAATAAGCCTTTAATTTGTGTTCTATGTATTAGATTACAATTGTAATGTAAAAGTCACTACCACAAACAAATACAGAGATGTGTGCCGATTAGGCACGTTGCTTTAATAACCAAGAAATTTAATTTGCATACACAAACGACAAGTGTAAATGACACACCCCGACCTGGAAAGGTTGAAGCATGCTAGCCATCACCGTGAGGTGACGTAACCATAAGGGTAAGCGATGCAAAAAGTGAATAAAATTAAAACTAATTAGAACTAAACAGTGAAAGAGTGCGCAATTCGTGGGTTGGACCCACTACAATTATTCAAAGTGTAATAGACAGTGAGACTACAGAAGAGTAGTCAAAACAACCAAAGTACACTTATTACATAATAGTGATAAGTTCGTACGTCTAAAACATAATGAAATGTCAGAACTGCTGGGATTCCTCGAGTGCCACAAAGAGTACAGCTATCTAAGTCCTGGAGGGGCGAAAAAACAAAGTTGAGTGGGTCAGCAAAACAATGCTTATAAGAAAACCTTTATCTTTGAAAATACTAATCCCTTGCCGTAAAACATGTATAGTTTCCTTAAACATACTACTCAAGTATATAAACGATAATTCGATAATGTTATAGCAGTAATATAACCAGGAATATGCCAAGTAATGATGTATCAAATGTTACAGCAATAATCATGTGATAATCAAGTATAACTAAGTGATCATCCATCTAAGCTGACACACAAGTTTGAACAGATAGTTTCTGACACAAACAGAACTGGGTGTAATCAATATGCTCTAGTACTACGATCACGTGAAGACTGGTGCAGAAGCGCATCACATACAAGTCGGATTGCCTAGTGCAATCTACCCGACAAGACTGGCACCTAACTTGGATCCAAGGTGAGTGAATGGTGCGGATGTGAACATACATATGAAGGACTAGCCCTGACCCTAGGGCGAGTACTAACACCAGGTGCAGCAGGTTGAGCATGTACAATTATGTATGAATGCCATGACAGTAATATTACAACCATATAGCAGCATTTATCACAATATATATCACAATAACAATACTAAGCAATATAAGCGTAAAAGTGAAACAAATACGCATTTATGGAAACTATAAATATAAATATATATATATATAGTAAGTCGCTGGGTCGTAGCCCCTGAGCCTAGCTTAGCCTCGAAAATCCTCGAGATAAGTTTCCCCTAGTAGGAGTCCAATTGTGGTTGAGGTTGACCAAAAAAATGGCTTGAAAGTGACCAAATGGTCACGGTTTTTGAATGAAAATGTGCAGGTTCTCATTTTTCTCGAGTTTTCCAAGCCATAAATGGCTTGAAAATCGATATGTTGAACTCGCCAAGTCGACCTTCCGAGTTGGTAAGTCAAAAGTTGTCCACACCAAATTTCAAGGACATGGTTGTGATCGTGGGACTGAGCTGATCATAATGGTGTAGTTGGTTTAGGGGTGGGCAAACGGGTACAGGAACCGCAGGTAGGGGCGGGTAATCAAGGTTCGGGGCGGGTACGGGCCGGTTCCAATTTTTTCATAAGTGAAACGGGGCGGGGCGGGCCGGGGTTTTGAAATTTTAGGGGCGGGCCGGGTTTAGGGGTATAGAAAAACAGGGCCCCGGATGGCCCGTTTCTAACTATGGTCTCTAAACCCTAATCCATTATCCATGATTCACTCCCTCATCTGTCCCCCTTCTTCCTCGTCATCCTTCGTCCCCTTTCTTTTTCGTCCATCCGCCGCCTTCGAGTCCACTGATTCCCACTCGAGTCCACGACTTGAGACTTCCTTCCTCCCACCCACACTATTCTCCACCTAGACAACGACGACACGAAGACGATCTCATCGCCACAAAGACTCTCCTCTCCTTAGTCCTCCCTTTCGAATCTGTCGATTCTCGATCTTCTCCCTCTCAATTCTCGATCTCACTTTTCTGAGTTCCAAATCAACCAATAATTTTGTACTCTGGGTGGGCATGGGCGAATCTCATTGTGTGAAGCCCGTTAGGTCTTCTTCTTACATTGAAGGAAGTTTGGTTGCTAGAAGGCCGTCCTCTTCTGTCTCTGTGCCTATCCCTGAAATTGGCGGTAATTATACTCCAACCTTTGAACTGATATCAGTAACTTCTAGTTATTTATGTTTCCATTTGTAAATTGTATTAGATTGCATGTAAATTTATGTTCTGAGAATTCTATGGCAGGAATGGTTCTGGTTTTTTTAAACTTTATGGTGTTTTAATATTAATTTTGATTTCAATTTCTCTTAAGAAATATAAAAATCGAAACAACTACAGAATTTCATTATATTGCTTGGATTCGATGCTCTGCGTACTTGTTTTAACTACAGAATTTCATTGCTTAGTTCTATGACAAAATCATCCTTATGAATAGACATCTTTAATAAAATCTTTAATAAAACCATATGTTATTCCCAACTTCGGATGTAGTATGAAAGGAATCATTGGTTAGTAGCAGGAATTATGTCTGACTTGTTCATTAATTGTATTATTTGATTTACAGGTAATGGAAGCAGTTTTGTAGACAATGGGTTAAGTGAGGAAAATTTTACTTGTCGGGCAGTGATGGAGGCAGTTGGCTCATGTCTCACGAACAAGTGTTCAGAAGGATTACCAGGTAAAGGGTACATATACTACGACTCAGAGTAAGCATGGAGGTGTTGCTTGTGAGGATGTTGGCCATGGTGAGAAACGTGGCGGTGCCGGCGCGGGGCTCGGTGGAGAAGCTGTGGTGCGACGACGAAGGCAGCATTGCGGTGGTTCTGGAGTCCTTTCCGTAGCGGTTTCGCAAAAAAAAAAAAAAAAAAAAAAAAAAACCAAGGACCGGCCCGTTTGAAACGGGCCGGGTTCGGTCCGATTCCTGTAATGAAATATGATGTACCCGACTCGGCCCGGCCCGTTTCTTTAACCTCCGGTTCCTTGAAAATTAGGTCCGGCCCGACTCGGCCCGGCCCGTGCCCAGCCCTAAGTTGGTTGCCACGTTTGTGTGTTTTTGTGATGGTTGTAGAGAGGAAGAAAGAGAGAGTTCGGTGAGGGAGATAGAAATAGTTCCTCTTTCATTTCTTTTTCCTTTTTCTAATTTGTGACTGAAAGGAGGGAGAGATGGGATAGGTGAGGGAGTGAAATAATGGAGGGGTGCACGGGTAGGATAAAAAGGGGATCCAATGGATAGGTTTTTAGATTTCCTACAGTAAAAGGAAATCGAAATCTATCCGAAGTAGATATTTTTACACTTTAAAATCTACGCCTACTCGTACTAGCGTGTACAATTTAAATGCGATAGCGAGAACTAAAATGGAAAGCAATAGGATAAGTCCACGCCATTTGCCAATAAGGGCATAATCGTCAAATTACATATTCGGGGATAAATTACAAATGAAAATTAGGAACTGGTCGTCACAGTAAACTCCTGAACAACTACTACATGCACGAAACTACAAAAACATATGATAAGTCGTTGACTTAGGATTGTTATTGGGACACATGTTAAAAATCAGTTAAAATAACGGATTCTAGTGACACATGATAAGTCACTAAGAGCAACTCCACCCAAGGAGCCTTTCCCCCTGGCAATTCACTATTGAATCCACCATTTTGAACAGTAACTGCCTTTAATGAATAGTAACTGCCATTAATGAACAGTAATTGTCATTTGCATCTCCACCCTTGGAGCCCTCCCCCCTGGCAATAGGCAATAAAATATTAGTTTTTTTTGTTTGTTTAAATAATACAAAATAAAATTATTTGTAATTTCGGATAAGATTTTTTAAATCGTTCTCGTTGCACCACGTGTCATTTTATAAAAAAAAAATTATTTAGCGATGGATTTCGATAAGATTTTTATCCAATGTCATCGTGCCACGTGTCGTTATCTTTTGAGAATCTTTGACGATAGATTTTGAGAATCTTTGACGATAGATTTTGATCAAATAATAATAATGAAATTATTAGGTAACAAATAAATAATACAAACAAATAATAATAATGAAATTATTAGGTCACAAATAAATAATACAAACAAATAATAATAATGAAATTAGGTCACAAATAAATATTGCAAACAAATAATAATAATGAAATTAGGTAACAAATAAATGAAACAAACAAATAATTATAATCAAATTAGGTAACAAAATAATAATACAAACAAATAATTATAATATATTCTTACCTCATCCGCATAATTTGCCCCACTTACTAGCTTGTGTCAAGGCATCTCTCCACGTACTAAAGGAATGGCTAAGTATTTTCCAACGATTGGATATCGATTCTTTGGTTCTTTTCCCACTCATTTGCTCAACAAATTTGGTATGAATTAAACTCCACATTTCTCGCAATTGCATCTCATTACCCGTAACGGAATTATGAGTAACTTCAACCCAGCTAGTGCACAACGCAACATCTTCAAGAAGCGACCAATTCGAACCTGCATCAGTAGCCATTTTGTGGAAAAAATTGGATTGAAACTTTGAGAGAAAGATAGGAATTTGATTGAAAGTAGTTGAGAAAATATGAAATTGTGGTGTAAGGTAGATGGAGAAGAAGTGGTATTTATAGAAAAGTAAAAACAAATTTTTACAATTTTTTTTTCAGATTTTTTACAACTTTTTCGGATTTTTTACAATTTTTTTTTAAATTTTTATTCAAATAATTAATCTCTGCCGTTGGATTTAAAAATTTTGAATTCCAACAGTCCAGATTGTGCCACGTGTCACAACGGTAACTTTTCTTAATTTTAAAACTATTTTTCCTTTTTTTAAAAATTTATAAAGGAGATTAATATCAACCGTTGATCTCAGATCGAACGGTTGATATAAAATCAGTTTTTTTTTTTTTACCGTTGTAAATCGGACGGTTCTTATTAAAGAACCGTTGGGATCTAACGGACCGTGGGAAGCCACGTGGCTTCCCAACGGTAACTGGCGCGCGGGCCATCCCCCTAAAATCCTGTCGGACGACGCGCCCCCACTAGCGAGTGAGGGGCACGCGCCTGACACAAAAAAAAAAAAAAAAAAAGGCCGGACCCAGCCCTTGCGTCAGCCTAACGTCACAAGGCTCGGGGGCCAGGCTTGTCAATTTTCCACGGGCCTCCCACTCGGGCTCCCACCCTCACTCGGGCCCTTCCCCGCTGGAGCTGTTCCCACCGGCCCTCAGGCCCTTTCTCCTCCCCTGTCGCCCGAGCAACCAGCCTCCGCTGGACTTGCTCTAACACAAACAAATACAGAGATGCTTGTCAATCAGGTATATTGCTCTAGTGACCAAGAAATTGAATTTGCATACACACAACGACAAGTGTAAACCCCTAAACAATTATTATATGCACAAAACTACAAATGCATGATATGTTGCTAACTTAATATCGTTATCAGACCATCGGTTCAGAATTCATTTAAATAACAAATATAACACCACATAGATTAATCAAGTATATGAGTATGAGATGAAAATTGCGTCGACCCAACAAACACGATCAGTTGACGAGTGTACTACGAATTCGATTCGACCCAGTATAGTACAAAATAACAAACGTACACATCCATTGCAGAAAGCAAATAAGAATATCCTGTTTGATACTTACCCCCATTTTATGGAGAGGCTGCTCCCAAGTCTCGAACCCGAGACCTACCGCTCATGGGCGAAGGCACTTGCCATCGCACTAAGTGCGACCTCTACATGTACAGCAAAAACTAATTGAGAAAAATACGGAGGTGACACATGTATTATTGGGTGAAAAAGACAAAATTACTCTCGAGGCACACTCGAACTCCTACGCGCAAGCAACATACAATCAAGTTTAAAAGTGATCAAAATAGATATTTATTCAAAACCTATTTCATTCATCCTCATCCTCCCCACAAGGTAACATTCAATTATTCATTCAAAATATAATTAATTACCTAAATTAGTTGATTAATTTCCTAATTAATTAATTAATTTTTTAATTAATTGCAAGATATTATTTTGACATAATACCTTGCAATTACTCCAAAAAAACCACCATAAGTGGCCGGGCATTTTCTCCAAATAAGGGTCGGCCACACCCCTATAAATAGCTTCCATTTCTCCCAAAAACCTTTGAGTCCATTCTCAGTTGCGGAAATTTGCATCCACACTCTGAAACATTCATTCGGATTGCAAATATTTCCACCTCACTAAACTCTCTCAGTTGTAGTGAATCACCTTTCAGATCTCCAATTCGCCAAAGCACTTTTGCAAAACGTAATTACAAGACGGTTTTTATGCTATTCGCAAACGCTCTTTTTACCGCGAAGTAGGAGTACATTATTGCATACCTCCGTCTGCAATCTCTTGGGTCGTCAATGGCGGATCGGCTGCGTAGTTTATTTAAGGGCGAGGTCCTCACTTACGCCTATCTTCTTCTCTACATCGCTCTCTCCAGCGGCCAGATCTTCTTCAACAAGGTTGGTACGCACATTGCTTTTCATCTGTTAGCATAGCATTTGTCCAACATTTGGTCTTTTCGTTTGTTTGGTAGGCGGGAAATTTTTGGGGTGAATTTTCTGGGATGTGAAAATTGGAGAAAACCCAATTCGAGTTTGACCAGTTACAAGCGTATGGTGTAGTTTGAGATTGGTTTTTGGTGTTATGGAAACCCATTTAGTGTGATTAGTAGTAGTATTGTGAGTTTTGGATGAAAGATAAATTGCATGTTTTGTGTTTCTATTGATTTGGAAATTAAATTAGGTTTTACTTTTTGTTGAGAGTGTATGGATTTGGTACTGATGGATGATTTTGTTGGCTGTGCCTTTCTATTGAAAGATATGAAGGGAGACGAAAAGAAGCAGCTTTTCGAAGAAGCATTCTAATAAACTAGCTCGTACTTCCTAATTGCTTTTCCAGAAGCAGTTGTTGTGGGCTTTTGTTCTCTAATGTATTGCTGTGCATTAACAAATGGAGATAGAGAGACACAAAAAGTTGAGGAGGTGCTTTAAAATTTGCAATTGGCAAGAATTTACACAAAAAGTTCACATCTTGTTTTATGACCGTGCTTAATGTTTTGAAAGTATGGATATGGCGAAGACATGCATCTTAGGACCTTAAACTTAGCATGAAATGTATTGAGATCTAGAGAGAGATACATACATAGTTTACGAATACCCTGTGTTCAGGTATTTGATATGGTATTAGTTTCTCAAGAAAATCAATGGTTTTTACTTGCTTTCCCTCATCCTCTTTGAATCTGATTGAGGGCTGTAGATGATTGTTAAATTAAAGCAAGGGAAGTCAAGTACAGCTTTGGAGGTCTTGTTCTGGTAATGTCGATAAGATAGTTTTTTTTTTTAGGGAGGGGGCGGCTGGGTGGCTATACCTAACTCTACAGGAATTTGTTAGCAAGTACTTTGTATTGGAACAAAAGAATGATAAATTTTTTTGATAAAGGTCTACAGTGAAGAAATATAGCATCCTCTACATGTTGCGTTAATGCTCACCATGTCAGCATTTGTTTAATTTGATAACTCCTTGTTACTTAATGTTGATTTTTGGGTCTCTACTTTGAAAATATTACTCTCATTCTTAATCTTTAAATTGTGGAATGCAGTGGGTTTTGTCGTCCAAGGAAATAAACTTCCCTTATCCTCTTGGATTGACTCTACTTCACATGGTCTTCTCCTCTGTCTTGTGCTTTTTACTCACGAAAGTTTTTAAGGTATGCAGGTAACTAAATGTTGTGATAATCATTAAAACTGAATTTTCCATTGGTTCTCTTAAACTTATTTTTTTATTCTATGATTTTACAGATTTTGAAGGTTGAGGAAGGAATGACTGTAGAAATGTAAGTAAGGAGCCTCAAAGATGATATCTGTCGAATTTTACTCATTTTTGTGGAATTAAAGATGAATTTATGAATCTCTTTTGTGGCAACCAAATAATTAGGGATTTATGTTCGGATCATAGCTTGATGGTGCCAATGAGCTATTTTCATTGTTCAGAAGTATAAAGATAGTGCTAGTGACTCAAGCTCAATGATATTTGTTTTGGCTCTTAATTAAACTGACTCCAGCTATCTTATGAAGATTAAATATACTAGGAAAGTAAAACACACTAAGCCGTTGGTGTTTTAAAACCAACAAGTTGAATTGCAATATTGGCTAGCTAGTTGCTACGCATATGCAATTCCCTCCACGCTTGAAGCATGTGGAGTTGTTGATCCTATTGCTGACTTAAATTACTTTGAACTTTTTTCCTAAAAAATGAAAGAAAAGTACTTGAACAATTTTCTTGCTGGTACTTAACACTAAGATCATTTATCCTCCGACTAAAGTAACTGTGCAATCGTTTATGTCAGCTCATGTTTGTCTACTTTTTTACTGATTTCCCACTCAGAATCTAATGAAGTTTTAGTTATACAGATACGTGACATCAGTAATACCAATAGGTGCAATGTTTGCAATGACTCTTTGGCTGGGAAATACTGCCTACATGTATATTTCTGTTGCATTTGCACAGATGTTGAAAGCAATCAGTAAGTTTTCACTACTTTTTTGTTTTTTGATCCACTGTAAAGCCTCTGGGCATACGGAGCAATGTCTTCTGTGTTATTTGATGGTTGGCCCTTTGGCTGTACGTTTGTTCAGCAGTCAGAAAGTAGGTTGGTCAACAGGTCTGGCGATTGTATAACCATCCATCATGATTAGGAATTCTCTATCCAAGTCTCTGATTTCTTAAACATATGCATGCAGCCAGTAGCTGTTTTCATTCTTGGAGTAGCAGCAGGACTTGAGGTAATGAGCGGCAGAATGCTGTTGATCATGTCAGTGATAAGTTTTGGTGTTCTTGTGGCTTCTTACGGTGAAATAAATATCAGCTGGATTGGAGTAGTTTATCAGATGGGAGGAGTTGTTGGAGAAGCTTTAAGACTTATTTTTATGGAGATTTTTGTTAAAAGGAAGGGTCTCAAATTAAACCCAATATCTCTCATGTACTATGTTAGCCCGTGCAGGTACACATTTCTACTTTTAAAATTCCTCAAGCTTTGCCGTTCTGCTTATATAATTTTGTACACCTGTGTGATTTGAGTATTGAATTTGTATGCAGTGCTGTTTGCCTATTCATTCCATGGATCTTTTTGGAGAAATCAAAGATGGAAGAAAATAGCTCATGGAACTTTCCCCTGCTTGTGCTAACACTCAACTCTCTGTGTACTTTTGCCCTCAACTTATCAGTTTTCCTGGTGATCACTCATACAAGTGCCTTGACCATTCGCGTTGCGGGAGTTGTCAAGGATTGGGTGGTTGTCTTATTGTCTGCCATTATTTTTGCTGATACAAAGCTCACTCCTATAAATCTGGTCGGTTATGCCATTGGTAAGTATCTGACCTTGTCTCTTTCAAAGACTTGTTTATTTTCCAAAATAATTATTTGTCACAGTGATGGTTTTTGAGTTCTACATATTTCTGATTTTAATATATACCACCAGGTTATATGTAGATTGTGATGTTATAATAACCCAGAGGTCTCTGAGTTGATACTAGATTCCGATTAGTAGTATACAATTTTGAGTTTAAAGTGGCTTAGTTTTTGGGTGTTCATTGATATCTGATTGGGGGTGTTTTAGACAACAACACAGTGTTGTATCTTTTCCTCTTTTGAAGGGTAACGCGGAAATACCATGATATATTTTAAGAGTAATGTCGAGATGTTTAAATGCATAGTTTTGACTGACAAACAACATAACGAATTAAATATTATCTACAAACCAATACACATGATAATGATACATTAGTTTTTATGCAGCCATAGCAGGTGTAGCGGCATATAATAATCACAAGTTAAAAAAGGAAGTCTCTAAAAGCAACTCTGACGAACCTGAAAGTTCTCAACCTATACTAATGGCTGCACCATCAAATTCCGACAAGTAGCGATGTCACAGGAGCATTCAGACTAGTTATTTTTGAGGTATGTTCATTTAGCAAAATGTTTCTTCCCGAATCCATTACTTATCTTCTTGGGTTTTCAAACTGCCCCAGAAATTGATGAATTGTGTGGTACTGTAGTGGCCGTTGCAATTTACATAGCTGGATGGAACTCTATAAATAATTTGAGATTACGGTTTGTTGAAGCTTCGGTGGTTAAGGGCTTCCCTGTTTGTTATCATTGTTGCAGTTGCTCCTGTGGCGGTGTAAATTTTGTGGCGGTTTGAAGCAGAACTGCCATTCAAAGTATAAAGATGAGAAATTCACACAATTGTAACATCATCACAGAGGTAGGCATTTCAAAAGTTGGTATACTTCTGCTAATCATAGATGATTTGTATGCAAAGCAAGTGCCATTGTCACTGTCATAGAAACTCTCTGTTTATAAATTTCCTGATAAATCTTTACAGCTCACATTTGTATCACAGCATGGGCATATACGATGCTTACTCTCTGTACAAAGATTTATACTTTGAACCTCGACTTTTTCCATGGTAAATTATGTTCAGAGAAGTTTGTACCCCCTCCCCTGCTGCCGCTTAAACGGAGAAATTCTTCGATGGAAGAATCTCCTGTAAATGGCAGCAACCAAATTGTTGCACATGTAGAACGAATTTGTTTGGGCGGAGAAAAAAAATTTGATAGATATCCAGATTAAACTCGTCCGCTGATATTTTAACGCACCAAATTGTTATGGGCTTTGGTTTTTTTTCCCTCTCAAGACAAGTCGTGCACAATTGTGAAACGGCGCATGATCAAATTCTATACTGTTGGGCTTCTGAGACGTAACACACGCACCAAAAATACGGCGTTAGAATGCTGGCACGTGATATAATAATTTCTCGTTTTCAACTTGCAAATATCGTCTCTAAATTGTGTATATTCACGAAACTACGTTGTTGGAGGATTGGTCTTTAATTAGGAGATACTTGATATATGCAAATTAGACCAGTTGGCTAAGGCAACGTGTTAGCACCCTTGCATCTGATGCGATTCCTCTTCTTTAAATGCAAGATTGGATATCTTATTGTAAAAATCTGAATGGTTTAGAATCGCTCGATAAAGTTGAAAAAAGAAATATTATATTTGATGGGCCTTAGTTCGAATTAGAAACTTAATTAAACAACCCAACAAGGCCCATAGCCCGCCTTTTGCGACATCCGACTGTAGAGATCCTGAAGAGGGAAGACCAAATAATAAAGAGGGAAAATCAGGGGATTTTTGGGGTTTGGAAGGTAAAGGGCTTTTCCTGCTTCGTCTCCTCCTTCTTCTTCTTCACATCTCTCCCTCTCTCGCATGTCTCTGCCCGTACCCGCCTTCTTCCCTCTCTCCCACTCTTTCCTTATTTAATCCTTTAAAATTTTCAAAAAACAATTTAATATTATAATTTTTTTTTAATTCGAATTTTTCCGTGGGAAGAAATAGGCGGTATTGGTGGGGGGAAGAGATATGCGATTGGGGTGGTGGTGGTGCAGCATCATCATCGGAAGGGCGGCGTCGTGTGATGGTCGTCGTCGACGTTGACGTTGATGGGCCTGCAATTCCAATTGCAGATGAGTTGGCAGCCGAGTCTACTGAGTCAGAAGCGGAAGAATGGCCTGCCGCCTCTAGGGTTACGCAACCTCGGCAACTCTTGCTACCTCAACAGCGTCCTCCAGTGCCTCACCTACACCCCTCCTCTCGCCAATTTCTGCCTCCGCAAACTCCACACCTCTCTCTGTAAGTACAACTCTCTCTCTCTCTTCCTCTGTGATTTTGTTTGAATTCGAATTCGAATTCAACCGAAACGGCATTGAATTCAATCTGCAGGTGACTCTTCGGATGCGGAGCGGAAGCGCGACTGTCCCTTTTGCATTCTGGAGAAGCAGATAGTGCGGTCCCTGAGTCAGGATCTCAGTCCGGATGCGCCACAGAAGATACAGAGCTGTCTCGGGATTTTTGCCGAACACTTTCGGTGCGGACGACAGGAGGACGCTCATGAGTTCCTGCGCTACGTCATTGATGCTTGCCACAACACCTGCCTTCGGCTCATGAAGCTGCGACGCAATGCCACAGCCAACGGAAACGCTGCCAATGGCAATGGCAAAATGGCCAACGGCATAGGCAATGGGGAGGCGGCAACTTCAACGGTGGTGAAGGAGATATTTGGTGGAGCATTGCAGAGCCAGGTGAAGTGTCTATCTTGTGGCACAGAATCCAATAAGGTTGATGAGATAATGGATATTAGTCTTGATGTTTTGCATTGTAATTCGCTTAAAGACGCATTGCAAAGGTTCTTTCAGCCTGAGATTTTGGATGGCCAGAACAAGTACAAATGCGAAAGGTATCATCTCTCTCTCTCTCTCTCTCTCTCTCTCTCTCTCTCACTGCTTTTTCATGTTTTGGGTGCTTGTCCTTTTGTTTTGGGTTTTGATTGAGGTATTTATGCTGTCTTTAGTTGTAAGAAATTGGTGGCAGCACGGAAGCAAATGTCTTTTCTTCAAGCACCAAATGTTCTTGTTATTCAACTTAAGGTTAGTTTATTAGTTACGTTCTGATATATTTTTGCTATTAGGTGCTTAAGTTGCTCCATCCTGCCATTTTTACTTTCGTTCATTTAGTTTTCTTGACAATGCTTTATCGTTATCTGTTGATAGAGATTTGAGGGTGTACTTGGCGGGAAGATTGATAAATCTATTTCATTTGAGGAGTTTTTGGTGCTTTCAGGGTTCATGTGCAAAACAAGCAAGGTGCGGTCTAGACTTTAACTTGTCAGTTTAATGAAGTCATTGCATTGGATAGTGTATGGTTGCTTAATTGGAAAGCGAGCTTAGTTGGATTAGATACTGCATTAACAATGAACTTATTGAGCATAGCAACAATTACCTATTTTTTAGGACATAGAGTCCAAAACTTTGCAGCCTCCATGTTCAGTTGAACCCTTGACCAAATAACTATCGAGCTTTTTAGATCTTTGCAAATCATATTATATATAGTATACCTAATATAATATGGATGTGTGGTGTGCAGTATTGATAGTAGTCAACCTGTACTAAACCTACAAAAAATACATATCTAGTTCTCTTCAGAGTGTCCCCAGCTAATATTGTTTTTTGCCAAATGAGTTTGTCTCCACTTAATTGAATTCACATAGGTTTATAGGATTGGTACAGTAATTTGTTCCAACTAGTAGTTGCTTGTGCTTTCTTAATTATTTTTTCTGGGTTGAATAGGTTCTTGTGCTTTATAAGTTTTGTTTGAATACAGTTGGCACTAGAAGCTTGTTGAAATCTACGTGATTCAGTTTGGAATGTTATGATTCGGTGTCATATCAGCACCTTTCTTACTTAGAGGAAAACAAAGAGGTTAGTTCAGCAGCCCTAAAGTTCTCAAAGAACCTAAGAACCAAAAGCGAATGCCATTGCAATCAATATTCAAGAGTTTCTTGTTAAGAGAAAGCTTATTTTCGGCAACGCCCCCTGAAACTCCAACTTGTACTCACTTAACCCCCTCAAACTTGATATGTCTCATTTAACCACCCCCCCCCGGGGAAACTCAATTTTTCTCTCTTCCCCTCCCCACGTGTGCATTCCCCTTTCCCCTGATAATGACGAATTAAAGGTTGAACAGATCGTTTATTTTAGAACCAATCAAGCTTAATTCGATGTGGAATCAAACACCCATTGGTGCAGTCATTGTCCTTGACTACCTTGATAGAGTTTACAGGAGATAGGGGAGGGACGCAGGGGTTGTCGGGAGAGTCTGGAAGGGGAGGTCGACGTTGTTGGGTGAGGAGTGAGCTGTGGCCATGGGAGAGAAAGAGAGGCTAACTGTAATTTTTTCCATTTAACTTAATTATTTTCATTTAGTTAATTTGTAACATTTGTTTTTAATAATTATTTTGCCATGTAGGGTCCACATGGCATAATTGTAGCATAGTAAGTCTGATTCATGTCACATCAGCTATTTTGACTGATTTATTAACAAATTTTGACGGTAGGGGTTAAAGTGAGACAAAAATTGAGTTTCAGAGGGTCAAGTGAGGCAAATTAAGTTCCCGGGGGTAACATGAGAATAAGTTTAAGTTCCAGAGGCTAACTATAATTTTTCTGTTTAACTTAATTATTTTCATTTAATTAATTTGTAAAATTTGTTTTTAATTAATTTTTTGTGCCATGTAGGGTCAACATGGCATAATTGTAGCATAGTAGGTCTGATTTATGTCACATCAGCTATTTTGACGGATTTATTAACAAATTTTGACTGTAGGGGTTAAAGTGAGACAAAAATTGAGTTTCAGAGGGTTAAGTGAGGCAAATTAAGTTCCAGGGGGTAATCTAAGAATAAGTTTGAGTTTCAGGGGGTGTTGCCATAAATAAGCCTTAAGAAAATACTCGAGACGGTGATAAACTTCTGATATTCTTAAGAAGAGTTAAGCCAACCGGCGGGTAATCAAGATGTTTGTTTTTGTTTTTTTTTAAATTACATTTCTGAGCCAACCAGTACAAAATGAGTGTAAATTAAAAAAGAACACAAATAATTGGTTAAAATATTTGCTATAATAGCATGTTCAATGTTTTCTTATTGTATTGTTTAAGTGATCACAACACAGTCTGGATGGTACTCCAGTTTATTAAGTATGTTTCTTTTTCAATCTGTGCATAGAGCGTCAGTGTGGGAGTTTACGTGGTTGGAGAAGGAAACTCCAATTGTTATCTTGGTTGATTAAGGGCTGGTTTGGTATTACTGTGCTTTGAAAAAAAAACTGCTTTTGCTGTGCTGTGAGAATAAGCTCATTTTTGCTGCTTCACGTTTTCAGTTTTTTTTCACCCAAAACTGTGAAAATAAGCTGTTTTTAAGTGTTTACCAAACATCTTTTTGAGCTCAGCTTTTTTTGATACCCACTTTTTATAAAAGCACCTAAGTACCAAACCAGTACTAAATGTAGGGCTACGCTTAAACAAAGAAAAATCTAGAGCTAGAAATGGGAAATGGGAACTGGATAGGACTGTAGAAGGGGTTTAGAAATTTAGACCAGAGATATCCATCTATTATCCACATGGTAGGACTAAGGCCTTGTTGAGAGGAGGTCTATATCCAACTCATCACCTGTTCTATTGAGATGTTATATATTCAGCACTATGAACGACTTATCTAGCAACCTCTTGCAGTCTAAAGAGGAAATAGACATCATTAACAATGCACAAAGGTGTGATTTCTCGGTGAACCTCTTGTTTATAGTCCCATTTTTCATGATCGATCTATGACTTGGGTTTTATCATCTTTTCCAGCTAGTCAAAAGACTTTTCTGCCTTCACGGGGAAGTATAAAGGAAAACAAAAATCCATTTGACTGCAACTTATATATGAAAATTACAATGCAGGCTTTATTTCTAGTGACAATTAGGAGATCCTCGAGAAGTTGTGTTAAGTTCGACTTATTCTGTTTTGTGTGCTTTATTGTAGTTTAACATGGCTGTAACAGTTATGTCACTGAATAGTAAGTTTTGTTTGTTGCATTCTTGTTTGAATAGGTCATTCTGATTTACATTCTGTTTGGGAAGCTATAATGTAGATGCGTCATGGTCTCTGTATTTTTTTTTTCTGGCATATCAATTAAATACATGTTGGATTGTTGGTGATTCCTTTGCAAATGTTATTTCTGATTCTTTGTTGCATATCTCCTTTCTTGTATTTCAAAATGAGGCAGTCCAGGTCTTGGTTATCTAAAAGAATGGTTTTGATGTCAAGATTCTATTCTATCCTTATAAATATTTCTTGATGCTAGTGCATGCGTTTTATCTGACTCCCGTATCATGAGACTGTTGTTTGTTTCTAATTATTCCTTATATATGGGTGATGTTGCAGACAGTTGCGTTTCCTATTAGTAATGATATTGACTTTTTAATTGCTATGCAGGATACGCGGCCAGAGTATAAGCTTTTTGGTACTATTGTGCATTCAGGCTTCTCACCAGAGTCTGGTCACTATTATGCATATATTAAGGTATCTGTTCACCTATCACCTTCTTTGCAATCAGTAAATTTGAAGCACACCATATCAACTATATACTTATCTTGTTTTATTTTGCTTTTCATAATCTATGTACAGGATGTCATAGGTCGGTGGTATTGCTGCAATGATTCATCTGTCTCACTTTCAACCTTGCAAAAGGTCTTATCTGAAAAGGTTTACATCCTTTTCTTCTCTCGTACCAATCAAAGGCCAGCATTGGCTAGCACTGCTTCCAATGGGGTGAGTTCTCATGATTGTAATGGTCGTGAAACATCTAAAACCCTGAAGTCCGCTCTTCCACCGAAAGGAGTTCAAACAAAACCTTATGATGTCTCAGCCGTATCTAAAGTTGATAAAGTGCCTTCCAGCCCACGGATGAAGTTCAATTTGAGCGGAAATTCCATCTCCAAGAGAGCACTCACAACTGATAATGGAATAACCGTTTACAAGAATCAATCCTTAGGGTCAAACGGGGAAAGATCTACTTCAACTGCTAATGGAAAAAGTGTTTACAAGAATCAGTCCTTAGGATCAAACGAGGAAAGAGTTCCTGCAACTGATAATGGAAAAATTGCTTACAAAAATGAATCGTGTGGGTCAAATGGGGAAAGAACTCCTGCAAATGATAATGGAAAAATTGCTGACAATAATCAATTATTAGGAACAAATGGGGAAAGAGCACGTGCAACTGATACTGGTAAAATTCCTTACAAGAATCAATCCACAGGATTAAATGGGGATGCAAAGGACTCAGTTAGTTTGGAGAAAAGTGAGAAGTCATTGTTGATAAACAGGGATTGTTTGAACAGGGGTAAAAGTCCTGCTATAGTTGACGGTAACAGTAGCCAGGCATCTTTATTATCACAAGTAAATGATGTAAAAGCTGAAGCCTGTGAAGGTGTTGATACAAAAGACAGGTTGGCAGCTAGGAAAGTGCCTAACAGTAGCCAAGCATCTTTGTTATCACGAGGAAATGTTGGTACTGGTTCAGTAAAAATTGAATCCTGTGAAGGTATTGGTACAAAAGATAGGTTGCCAGCTGGGAAAGTGCCTGATACGAGTGAATCGGAAAAAAGTGGTCTTCATGGCCGCTCTAAAGTGTCTGGGTCTAAAAGAAAATTTCTGGATTCATGCATTCTGTTTGCACCTGATGCTCAATCACAGGCAGAAGTTGAAGGACTAAAGGAAATGTATGTGACACTCTACCACATTCTTTGAAATAAAATGTCGGTCTATAGAAACTTATCTTGATTAGGATCAGGTCTTAAAATGTGGCTTAAGATGTGCTTGTTATGGATTGCATAATCTTTTGGAGTATTTATCTTACAGTATCTTTCTTTTCATACATCTGTCTACCATATCCCCTTCGGTTCTCCCATTGCCTTGCCAAAAGAAAGACCATTCCCCAAGTGATAAATTTTATGTTTGTTGTTCTATGAGTTCATAGCCGAATACTCTGTCAGGTCCTTAAGTTAACCTGCACTATATAGTTGGATTCTTCTGATAAATATGACATACTTTGAATGATAGTGTCTTTGCTGCTTTAATTTTACTTGTTTTCTTTATCAAGATTCCTTTTACGTGCGCCTCTAATTTGTTTATCTCATATCATTTTCCCTTGTCCTCTGTAACATCTGGACTTGCCTTGTTGTATTGTATTGCAAATTTCAGTCCGGTCAGGGTCATGATAACTCTGAGAAATTTAACCACGAAGAAATGAAAGAGAATAACAGAAGCTTAGAGAAGATGGAATTTCAGAAGTCTTTGTATATTACTCAATGAATTATTACAAGTCTTTTCTATGTGTTATATAGCCTCTCAACATACATGGACTATTACAATAATACCCTTTGTAACTAACTCTCTAACAGTATTAACTACTTGAGTAATAGTAGCTATAACCAATCGACAATCGACAAGTGTCAATTGGTTAATAGGTCATAGGTTCTTTTCAATGATGCATGCATTTTACTGTTATTTCTGTGTAACTTGAGTTTCTTATTAGCAAAAACATGTAACACTACTTTGTTTATTTTATAATTGGCTCAATGCCAGTCTGTATTTTGTTCCTTCAATTATTGCTTTAGTTATATTTTCCATTGGCCTAATATTTTTTTTTAAATGTTTATTAGTCTCAAGAAAGAAGCTTCTTCAGTTTTGCGATCATGTGGTTGGCTGGATGAAGTTCATAGTTTTATGCTTTCAAGGAAAAGATTATGTTCAGATCAAGTTGGAACCACTCCAAACAGCAACAAAGTGAAGTAAGTATTGTTTTTCTATTTTAACGTTCGTATGTAGGAAACTTGTTGATTCATGATGAAAGATTTTCCATAGATTTCTGCTGGTTAGCCTTCATAGTGCTGATTTTAATCAAATTTTGTTGAAAATTCAGTTCCAACTCTTTAAGTGCATTTATTGTATGCGTCTCTAGAATTTTTTGCCTCAGTATAATAGAAAAACGTTTTTAACAGGGCAAATTATTGGTCGAAGAAAGAATGCTTGTAGAACATTATTCTTTTCTCCGATTCATCACCTTTGTATATCCATCACATATAGTATATTGGAACCTCTAGAGACACATACATTAAATAAGCATGCATGAACCATTCCAACACCAAAATAAGGAGACTTTATAACAATATTCATGTAAAGGGCCTTTGGCATTTCCTATACAAGGATTCACTGCACGATTTTTGCCCAACATTTGTTTGGGTAACATTGCCATTTAAAATTGTGGCCATGACTTGCATTTGGTTGTGTAATTGGGTTTTTACTTTGCATTAACATGAAACATTGATCCGTCTGTCTCTGCCTATGCAATGCAGGAAGTTGTTGATCACAGATGCCAAATCAAGTTTTCTTTCACAAATACCCGCTTCTTTAAGAGGGGATTTAGTCAAGCGCATTCAATCATTTAGCAAAAAATAGCGATGCTATTTTGGTCCTCCATTAACTCAAAACATGGTAGGTTAAAGCATCCTTTTTATTATACTGATTCAAGATGTGTGAATGAGAAATGAGCTGGTGGCACAACGGCCTCTAATCGTTGACTCTTTAACTGGCAGGACTCGGTGTGTTATTTGTATATATACTGCCGTTATGAAGATGATGGGATATAGACCGAAGCCCTATTCAGCGAGTGCCGGGGTCAATGGTTACGGTTTGCCAATGGCGATGTATTTTTGCAGCGTTGAAGATGTTAAGTTGAGATGAAAGTGCGGATTCAAATCTTGCTGAAAATTTTCTTGTTCCGCGGCTGTTTAGTTGGTTTCGAGCAGAGAACAAGTCGAGAATTCTATTCATTATGTACGATATCCTTTTCGCAGTTTAATCAGTATTTAGCCCTCATTTTTTTATGGATCATCACAATTTTACTTCAGTAGGTGATCTTGTGTAGTTTGGATAATTAGATATGGATAATTGAGTTAAACCGTCTTAAATAGTAACTTCATCTTTGTGTTCGATTGTCTCTAACACCACAAGGGAAAATGGTGGAAACCATGGTACCCTTTTTTATTCACTAGTTTGAATGATTAAATTTGTTGGTATTCACTATTCGGATTGTGATGTTTGTATTTCTTTTGCTTCTCTTAGTGGAAGAAGAAAGTGATTTTTGTACTCTTATTTTTTTCGCACAAAAACAAACGGGATTGTTTAGGAAAAAATGGGCGCTTGGAAATATCATTTCCCTAGCGATTATACTCTTTCTTCACTAGTTTTGTAGTTAATAAATGAGTAATGCTAGTTAGATTAAAATTTTAAACCATATTTTACAAATCAAATGATGTGTAATTAATAGAAAATAATCACGTTAACTCTTATTAAATTATATATTGTGTCGTGACGATAAAGAATCAGAATATTTTCAATACCTATTTTAAATAAATATAAATAGTCAGTTTACCCGATGAATTTAGCTAGTTGATCATGACAGTGTGCATGTTCTGCACACTTGTTGAATACTCCATTGGTGTAATTTAGAATGTTGTACGGTGGGTCCTAGATGAGTCTATCAATGTGTGGTCGCCTCTCGAAATTACTAGCTACCTATGTGATTCTTGCGCAAGCTGTGACATCGGTGACTCTGGAAGCGCCCACACAAACCAACCCAAGAAAATTCTACAAACATTGGCCAACTTTCTCTACCATTATATATATTAACACTTACCTCCCTTTGCGTTTGTAGCACAGAGTAAGCAGTCAAAGAAAACTATCAAAGAAGCAAGCAGCAGGCACAAAAGCTAGCAATGGCAGAGGAAGTGGTTCTGTTGGATTTCTGGCCAAGCCCTTTTGGGATGAGGGTGAGGATTGCCCTGGCGGAGAAGGGCGTCGAGTACGAGTCCCGGGAAGAAGACTTGAGCAACAAGAGCCCTCTGCTGCTCAAGATGAACCCTGTTCACAAGCAAATCCCAGTTCTGATCCACAAGGGAAGACCGATATGCGAATCGCTCATCATTGTTCAGTACATTGATGAGGTTTGGAGTGATAAAGCTCCTCTGCTGCCTTCTGATCCTTACCCTAGAGCCCATGCAAGGTTCTGGGCTGACTATGTTGACAAGAAGGTTAGTTATTTTAGTATATGCGTCAAATTGTGATTTAATGAGTTAATTATCTTCATTAGGGAAGAAAGATACTTAACTTCATTCATCTTTACCTGCAAACCATGACTAGGTGCACGAAACATTTCTCTTATGTGATTTTAACAAGTTACATATTTTAATACGTATATATGTCAAACCCTTTGGGAGCGGCCTCTCCATAAAATGGGGGTAAGGCTAGCCGACATTTACCTCTTTCAGACCCTGCGTAAAGCGGGAGCCTTGTGCACTGGGTACGACCTTTATATATGTCAAACTCTCACTTGCACGTGAGAAGTTGGTGTTCGTTCTAACTGGGTTTTTGTCGTCGTAGATTTATTCAATAGGGAAGTTGGTGTGGGTAACCACAGGTGAAGTCCAAGAGGCAGCAAAGAAGGAACTGATAGAGTGCTTTAAGCTGCTGGAAAACGAGCTAGGGGACAAGACCTACTTTGGGGGTGAGAGTTTTGGCCTAGTGGACGTGGCACTTATCCCTTTCTATAGCTGGTTCTATGCGCTGGAGACCTGTGGAAACATGTGCATGGTGAAGGAGTGTCCGAGGCTGGTGGGTTGGGCAAAGAGATGCATGCAGAGGGAGAGCGTGTCCGAGTCTCTGCCCGATCAGTACAAAATGTATGACTTCCTTTTGGAGCTTAGAAAGAAGTTTGATGTTCATACCTAAGACACACAGATCTTTAGACTTGTCAAACTTGTTCATGCATGGATCGATGAGTATAGCCTATATGTGATATTCGTGTCTCTAAAGTGGAAAATATGACTGTATCTCTACCTTTTTATTTTAAAATAAATGACGTTTGCAGATTTAAGTTTAGTCAAGTTGGTTAGAAGTTTAGTCAAGTTGGTTAGAGCAGTGTGCTGTATTTTTTAATTGCTTTTTATAAACAAAGAAAATGAACTTTTTTGTATTTATTTCTGTTGCATGTATAAGAACTATGAAATTGAATCAAATGCCAAACAATTTGTTTTTAGTTCGATATATTTTAACTAGAAGAAAAAGAAAGAATAGTCTTTTAATTCAATCGAACACTTGGGTATAATTAACCCTTGCACCAACTTATGCTACTTATCCAATGACCCACCAATTTGGATCGGCATAAGGTGATGATAACAAATCGCTAAACATGTCAAATGTATCGTCCTGTAGGGGCACGATGGCCACATCCACAGCGATCGAACCTGCAATACACGACTTGTGAAACATATGCTTACATGGCATCTCCTTGGGTTCAACGCCCACCTTCATGTTTTCAAGCAGAATTCGGATTCTCTTTGTGACTTGTGAGGATTCCGGGATTCGTCAATCTTATCTATTTATCGTACATCGTACGGTCAGAAATTATTTTAAATATTTTTATTTAAAATTAAACGCAAACAGTATTTGATAAAAATTAACTGCACGATATACGATTAACGAACTTCATTTACGAATCTCTAAAATCCTCACCAACAGGATCCGAAGAGGATCCGGATCCTGTTGGTTCCAAGCAGATGCAACACTCCTTGTGGTCCTTCGTCAGTCGGGGTCGTAATGGCATCGACGGCGGTGTTGGACAGCACAGGAAGCAGCCCCTACGGGTCGTAAAATAAAGAGGAGGAGCGCGTGGTAGTACCAAATAATTCTTCTGGCAACATTTTCTATTTCGAAATAGATATTTATGAAATTATAAGAAGAACAACAAAACATTAGAATCATAGATTTAATAAACTAAAATTACGATAAATCAATTATAATTTACTTATTTGTAAAATACAGAAGACATAGTTCTTATGGATGACTCAAAAATCTTCTATTTTATTATAAATCAATCATAATAAAGCTCTTCTGCCGCCTTCTGATCCTTACCCTAGAGCCCATGCAAGGTTCTGGGCTGACTATGTTGACAAGAAGGTTAGCTATTTCAGTTTATGCGTCAAACTGTGATTTTAACGATTTAACGATTTTAACAATTTTAGTCTATGAGTCAAACTCTGACTTGCACGTAAGAAGTTGGTGTTCTTTCTAACTGGGTTTTTGTCATCGTAGATTTATTCAACAGGGAAGTTGGTGTGGGTAACCACAGGTGAAGTCCAAGAGGCAGCAAAGAAGGAACTGATAGAGAGTGCTTCAAGCTGCTGGAAAACGAGCTAGGGGACAAGGCCTACTTTCGGGGTGAGAGTTTTGTCCTAGTGGACGTGGCACTTATCCCTTTCTATAGCTGGTTCTATGCACTGGAGACCTGTGGAAACCTGTGCATGGTGAAGGAGTGTCCGAGGCTGGTGGGTTGGGCAAAGAGATGTATGCAGAGGGAGAGTGTGTCCAAGTCTCTTCCTGATCAGTACAAAATGTATGACTTCCTTTTGGAGCTTAGAAAGAAGTTTGATGTTCATACATAAGACACACAGATCTTTAGATTTGTCAAACTTGTTCATGCATGGATCGATGAGTATAGCCTATATGTGACATTCATGTCTCCAAAGTGGAAAATATGACTGTATCTCTACCTTTTTATTTTAAAATAAATGACGTTTGCAGATTTGAGTTTAGTTAAGTTGGTTAGAAGTTTAGTCAAGTTGGTTAGAACAATGTGTTGTATTTTTTAATTGCTTTTTATAAACAAAGAAAATGAACTTTTTGTATTTATTTCTGTCGCATGTATAAGAACTATGAAATTGAATCAAATGCCAAACAATTTGTTTCTAGTTCGATATATTTTAACCAGAAGAAAAAGAAAGAATAGTCTTTTAATACAATTTAATTCAATCGAACACTTGGGTATAACCATTGCACCAACTTATGCTACTTATCCAGTGACCCACCAGTTTGGATCGGGACAAGGTGATGGTAACAAATCGCTAAACATGTCAAATGTATCGTCCTGTAGGGGCATGATGGCCACATCCACAGCGATCGAACCTGCAATACACGACTTGTGAAACATATACTTACATGGCATCTCCTTGGCTTCAAGGCCCACCTTCATGTTTTCAAGCAGAATCCGGATCCTCTTTGTGACTTGTGAGGATCCCGGAGATCCATCAATCTTGTATGTTTATCGTACATCGTGCGGTCATAAATTATTTTAAATAATTTATTTAAAATTAAACGTAAACAGTACTTGACAAAAATTAACTGCACGATGTACGATGAACGAACACTATTTACGAATCCCTAAGATCCTCACCAACAGGATCCGGATCCTGTTGGTTCCAAGCAGATACAACACTCCTTCTGGTCCTTCGTCAGTCGGGGTCGTAATGGCATCGATGGCGGTGTTGGACAGCACCGGAAGCAGCCCCTAAGGGTCGTAAAATAGAGAGGAGGAGCGCGTGGGTGGTACCAAATAATTCTTCTAGCAACATTTTCTATTTCGAAATAGGTATTTTTGAAATTATAAGAAGAATAATAAAACATTAGAATCACATATTTAATAAACCACAATTACGATAAATCAATTATAATTTACTTATTTATAAAATACAGAAGACATAGTTCTTACATATGACTCAGGAGTCTTCTACTTTCAGCAAGCGAAAGTGTTCTTGCAATAACAGGGTTTGCTCGGAATAGAAAGTATATTTTGTGAAAGTAGAGACACCCTTAATATAGTGATTAGGATTTCTCTAAACTGCCTATTATAGTTAATAGAGATATACACCAAATCACTATTAAATCAAAATATTGTCCGATCAAGGCATGTACAATGTCTTACTTAATTAGGGTTTCAATTAGTCAATTAAATATATCTTAGTTCCATGATTCTTGCTAACCAATATTTTTTTTTTGACAAAATTCTTGCTAACCAGTATTGAATCACATTAAAAGTCAAATATCTTGAAGATAAAGTTATTTGCCTTTTAAGTAATTCAGTTTATAATAATTGACAACTCAAGAGGAGTCTTGCAACATCTCCACGGATTGCTTAGGTCAAGGCTTATAAAAGGCATGTATATGCATGCAGCTGCACGCTTAAAACCTAGTTTGTGAAGGACAATCCCATCTCGTCTAGGAAACCCTAGTTTGCACAACTAATTACAGAGGACCCGAATGGAATAGGAAAACATAAAGACTACGAATTGAAAAGAAAGAGCAAACAGGCACCAGAAAGAAAAAAGAAAGTCATTTTTTCCTTTAGGAAATAAAATTACTCCCTTTTTTTTTTAAGTTTCTTATTTCCTGATATGTTTTCTTTTTTCAAGTAGGATTACTCTATATAAAGAGTACTTTGGTATCGAACAATCACCCAATCCTATACATCTCTCTCACCTTCAACAACGAGTTCAGCAACATGGCTTTTGTTAAGAGGAGCAAAAGCCGAAAAACTGTCACGTTCGATCTGCCGGAGGAGGAATGTGCTGAGTTTGATCATGGTGGAAACGAAAATCAAAGTGGTAAGGAAAAAATTGAAGGTAAAAAGAAAGGTGGCTTCGTAAGACGGCTTAAAAAACTTCTAAGCAAAAGACGCGAGTGTGCCCTTAAGGAAAGCAGACGTTATGATGAACATGAAAGCAAAAGATGCGACAAAGACGACGACAATAATAGTAGTGTACTTGGCTCAAATCGCGATGAAGATGATAGCGACAACAATAGTAGTGTGCTTGACTTGCATGATGACGAGGACACAGATTGTAGTGTGCTTGACTTGCATTCCGACGATGATGAAGACGATGACTATAGTGATGAGGGCTTGCACAAAAAGGCTCAACATGACCATACAAGCCTAATGCATCGTGGTGGTAAGAATGCGAGTCAGATGAGCTCTCCTGGCAACAGATATGCGTACCCAGCTAGTTATAACACGCATATGTACCCAGCCAATAACATTTATGGGTACCCAGATTATAACTCAGCTTATCACACGTATGCATACCCAAGTTATAATCCAGATTACAACATGCATGCGTACTCAGCTTATAACGCAAATGCGTACCCAGCTTATAACTCAGCTTCCATGCACGGTGCCATGCAGGAGTACCCAACGAACAACATGAACATGCCATCGAATTCGGTGCCACCACTTGATCATACCTTCAACTACTTCACTGAAGAAAATCCTGCTTGCACCATCATGTAAAAGATAGCTACAATTTCTTTTTCCTTTTTTATTTTTTTACTTTCTTGGTCAGCAAAGATTTCTAGAATTCTTTTATATTTTTCCCTTTTTGGTCAAACTAATGTTTTATTTTTTGTTATTGGATTTTTGTTTATTATGGTATTTTAATTAATGCTTATTGTTGCTTGCTCTTTGTTTTTTGTTCATGTATGAATTGAACTTCACCAAATTATATGTCTAACTTAACTAAAATATATAGTTCTCAAATTTGTCTGCATTTTCTGAGATTATTAGATTTCCCTATGTATGGCTCAATGAAGAAGGAAACAAGCAAACATGAGCAGCAAAATGGGACATGTACTGTTTGTGTAATATGGATAAAAAACTTTGAACGTTTCAACATATGATGATATTATCTAACTCAGTCTCAAGAACATGTTTAGAGAAAGACCCTTGAAACTCCTATTTTCCAAACAAAAACCCACCTAATAGTAAATATTCAAATAAAACCCAAAATTCAAATAGACTACCATGTAGACAAATATGTAACCAATTATTACAACATATTTACAACTTATGCCACAAAACCCTAATTATGTCAATAAATATTATTACTCACCCTAATTATGATTAGCAATTAACCCCATATGGAAATTTACCTTTCTTGTATCATAAATATTAGTAATATATATATATATATACACACACTAATTTATCCATATTCATAAACAATTATGGGCGCATTTTTTGTATGAAAAAAGAAAATCCTTTGTATAATTAGTTATTTTGCATCAAATAATATTGTTTGATAAAAAAAAAAAACAAACCAATTAATGTTCTTTATGTTGTAGGTAAATTATTTTACATAGATTGGACATTTTTTATTTGTTATTATATATGCATGTTAAAAATAATTTATCTATATTTATATGTAAAATATAAGTAAATTAATTTTGAATCAAATAACATTTATTTTGTAGGTAAATTAAAATAGTAGTTACATTATTTTGGTCAAATTAAACAGTGCCTAAATTATTTCGTAACAACTAAACCCTGACAATTTATCACCATTAAAATGAAACAATAGGTACGTTATTTTTTTTATTTGATTAAACAATAGGTAAATTATATTGTAGGTACATTATGTTTGTAAAAAAAATAGGAAAATTGAAAGTAGTAGATATATTATTTTTAACCAAATTTCCTTTATTTGTAGGTGAATTATTTGCATGCATTATATATATATATATATATATATATATATATATATATCTTGGGCACATTTTATTCCTAATATATATTTGTGCAATGATTCACCTATATTATTATATAAAATATAGATAAATTTCTTTTGAATCAAATAACATTTCTTTAATTTTATAAGTAAATTATTTTGCATGTATTATTACCGGACAAATTTTATAGTGCCCTTTTAGATTTTCATTTGGGTAAGAAGATGACAGGATCAAATTAAAACTGTCAAATTTTATGCAAATTTGAAACAATTACAAAATCTTAAGGAAAATATAACATTAGTGCTTTTTTTTTTGTTCCAAGAAGCATTAACATACAATTTGTTATGATATATTAGTATGCAATGATTTTAAACATTAATGCATTTTTTTCCATTAATCCCTCCCTTCAAATCTGCATAGAATTTAATGTATACATTAAAACTGTAATTACGGGTGTTTTAGGCATCTAAAAAATGCAAAATGTGTAAAGGCAAATAGAATTAATGAATTTGCTTATGTGGAGCCTAGTCATTGGGTTTTATTCAGGTAAAAAGACTATATCGGGTTTTATGTAAAGAAACTTAAGTTTCAGGGCTAAAGTCATATTTTCAGTTAAAATAACGTAGAATACAAGAAACTTTGTTGTGTCACGGTGATATGTCTCGTTGTATCTCCAATAGTAGCTCATCAAGTGAATAGAGTTTCGAGTTCCTCAACTAGCAGCAATCTTTCTTAGTGCTAGTTTTTATTTATTTATTTTTATCTAAAAGTTGTTTTATATAAGGATAATGCTAGGAGACTAAATTTGTAGACAAAATTTTGTAAACTAAATAACATGGAAGTTGATGATTGGATTATGTCTGAAGTGTTAATAAACGTACTCATTCTTATTAGTGATACATCATTTAGTTTGTAAATTCTATCTACAAATTTAGTCCCCTAAAATTACCGTTTATATAATAGTCAATTTTGCTTTCTTGATTTCTTCTTTATCTGAGAATTAGAATACCACATCCACCCACAGAATTTAATGCCTTCAAATTATTATTTCGTGTAGGCTCCACCTTCATTTTGATTTCTTAAAAGATGGGGTACTAGATTCGAGTTCAAAATTCATGCTCTCCTTAATAATTAAGGAAAACTGACGAAATTTTTTCAAAAACATTAATTTTAATGAAAAATAATAAATAAATGTGTAAGTGAATAGTACCATGAAAAGTAAAAATGTGGTTTTTCGTTAAAAATGAACAGTACCAGAAATGTTTCGGTTAAACTTCTTAATAAATATAATTATTTTCTTACATAAAAAAAAAAATAAACTGAGTACTCCGTAATCAGAAACAAACTATTTATTTAATTTTGATTACGAATTAGTAAATAAATCATAAATATGCAGAGTACAGAAAATTAGGCCCTTTGAACAAAAAAACAAAAAAGAGAAAATTAGGCCCAGAAACTAAAAAGCAACCTAATTCATGGCCCAGTGATGGCATTTGAACTCCAATAAGGCCGAAACAAGGGAAAACCCACAGGCAGCGGCAAAATTCCTCTCTCGCTGTTTTTGCCTCTCAACATCCTCCTTTACTTCTCCTTGCAGTCTCTGCAAAACCAGTTCTAGTCTTCGATCCTACAGCACCCCAAACCCAAAGGGTTTCACCATCTCCTTTTGTCTCTCTCAACCTGCAAATAAAAATGGTAACTTTCAATTTCCATGCTGATTTTTTCTCCGAATTTTTCCCTGCAACCCGTAATTTGAAATGGGTTTTCTGTTGGGTGTGTGGGTTTGCAGTTGTTCTTCTCGTACTTCAAGGAGTTGGTGGGGAGAGAAGTGACGGTGGAGCTGAAGAATGACCTTGCTATCAGAGGAACACTGCACTCAGTGGATCAGTACCTCAACATTAAGCTCGAGAACACTAGGGTTGTCGACCAGGACAAGTACCCCCACATGGTAACCATCCTTGTCTTTGTCTTTTCCCATTAACGTTTGCCTCTTCTATGTACTTATCTGCGCCTGTTGGTTGTTAGCTTGGTTTCTAGGGTTTGGTGTTTGGAGGGGGTAATCCTACTGATTGAGTGTGTGATGAGAATTTAGGTTTTAGGGTTTCAAATGGGTTGTTTTGATTTTTTTATTGTCTTTTGTGGTTTTGTTTTTGAAAACTTGCACCTGTTAAGTTTTTGGAATTTGTAAATAAGTGACAGGGGTCTTAGCAGAACAACAATGGTAGTGATAGGCCATCTATGCTTTAGTATGACCAGACTTCTGAGTGATTGTGAGCAGATTAAGTATTGATGGAGGATATTTGCTCGTTGGCGTAATTGTATACCGGAAAGTTCATCACGTAATGAAAAAGACTGAGAATTTTGGCTCACTATATGATGTTTAGTCATTTGGGTTGTAATAGCAAAAGACCGAGTAAATGGATGATTTGAATTTAGTGTGGAGAACTGTTATTCTCAAAATATTTGAAGGGAATGTTATGTAAGACCACTGTAATGTATAGAACACTATCCAATAAGCTACATAAGAAATAAATGTAGCTGGATGCAGACTTTAAGATGATGGGCATGTGGAAATGTTGCGAAGTATAAAATTTGGGGATAGCACCAGCGAAAGAGAAAGTGAGATGGTTTTGTTGTCTCAATTGAAGATCTTAGGGCCTAACATGTTGTTCACTTGACTTAATGGCAAAAAATGCATATCAACAGATGAAATTTGTCGAGGACTACAAACAGAAGCCCAAGCTCATTAGAAAAAGAAGCATATATTTTCTTGTTTTCTTTCTAGAGAAAGGCTTATATAAGTTGTGTGTGTAAAACAAAGACAATATCAGTGCCTCTTGACTTAAGTCATTGCCCGTGCGAAAGAATTTTTAAGGTCAAATGGCGAAAGAAGCTTGCTTTGGTTCATCCAAAATTACGGGTTTGGTTCCTTCCTAGGAGTCATACCCGGAGGGAAGCTTTACTGAAATCTTGGAATCACCGAGTGGGGATTTTTCTTGCCCAATTGTAATAGGATGAACTAAACTTTACCTGTGAGAAATGTTTCCAAACATGTTACTTCCAGTCACTAAATCATTCTAGGTAACTTAATTGTGACAAAACGTATTTATAGTTAAGCTGTTGTAATCTAGTTTCAGGGTTTATGAGTGATTTGCGTCTATTACTCCTCCAATGCTTGTGTTGAATTTATGCAGTCCATATACTTATTATTGATTTGGGTTTGACATGGTTGTGAGTTTATTACGTTCATTATGTTTATGTTTATGTTTATCACTGTTAGCTTGTGGGAGTCGATCATTGCAAAGGCGTTTTATGATTTTAATTTCAGGGAGCAAGTTTTCTTTTTGGGGCTCTGGGTTAAATTCTTCAGAGCATGGGTCATTGGTCTCTTGACTCTGACTCTAATTTGCCTGGTTTTGTTGGATGCATTGGATGTTCCCGTACTCTCGTGTTTGCTTTGTTAGTTCTAGTGGTTATCTATTTTGTGTGTTGATTTTTTCTGTCCCCATTATGCTTAAAGAACGTCATATGGACATTGAAATTGAATTTTGTTATTATTTAACAATATGATGCCCTTCCTATTTGACAACTGTATGATAAATGTACTCTTGCAGATGTCAGTGAGGAACTGTTTTATTAGGGGATCAGTTGTGAGATACGTGCAACTACCCCCAGAGGGAGTCGATGTTGAACTGCTGCATGATGCCACCCGAAGGGAAGCTCGCGGTGGCTGAAGTTAACTCAGTTTTGACATCAATTAAAGAAAGGCCTGGTTGAGCACCGAAATGTTGTGTAATTTTTTTCTCTACATGTCTAGTCTTTTACCAGTACCTTCTCTATGACAAGTTCATGAAGGCGTCTCCTATTAGACTGTAGTTCCGCTCTATGAAACATCTTGAGCCAGTGCAAATTAGTGTTTTTTTATCTGTTACAGTGCATTTTGGTTGAAATTGGGGCATCCACAACCTTGGCATCACCAAGAGAGGATGATCAATGCGACGCACGCCATTTTTATCCTCTCACATTTGTATTGTTAGTTTTTCCGAGATTGTAACTCGTGCGTGTGTATGATTGATTTGGTTAGAATGTTTTCTACTTCTCCATGAGTTGATTGATTAAAGAGAGAAGGTGAAGGAAATGGTAGTATTCTCGACAACAATACCGTGGAAGCGGTGGTATTCTTAATCACGTGAGCTACAAGTATTTTTAAAGAGTCGAGTATTGTGAGGTGGTGAATCACGGCTTGGAGCAATTTTATGCTGTTAGAAGGGAGCCCACGGTGCTTTTTGCAAGAATCATAGTGAATCAGTGATCTTAATCATTTGAGCTACAACATTACTGTAGATGACGAGAAACATTTTTTGACAAAAAGAATAAAACTTTAAAATAAAATGAAGCTTTTATTTGCTCTCTAAGAAAAAACATTGATATTTTTTTCTCGGCCCTTAGAATGTCAATAACAATTTCCAAATAAGAAAACTTTGTTCTCTGTTTTGCAAGCTGTAGATAGAATTTCTTCTTCAACCCACCGCATCTCGTCATCCCCATTTGTACCTCCCAATGATCCCCATGGTGTAGAGTTGTAGCTTAAGTCCTAAGTAGTATTATATTATTGTACGCTAGGGCAAGTGAAGCCCAACTGGGAAGCCCGCCAGCTGATGCCCAGCCCGCTTTTCTGAAGCCGACGCTGCCTTCCTTGTTCCACCCTTTCCCCGCTCCCTCTCTCTCTCTCGCTTCGCTGCTGCTTCTTCCACAGGTTCAGTAATTGCCATTCTCCACTTTTACCGCACTCACTCAGTCAATTCCCAGAAGGGCCACGAGGTATTTTGTTCTTTAAATTTAATTTCCCATTTTTTCACTCCAGGCTTCTATTTCCAATTTCTTATTCAGCAGCAATTTTCTACTCCTTTTTTTTAATTAAAAAAAAAAAAAAAAACTGAACTTGAATTGTTCTTGGTTGGTGGTGTTTTCTAGTAATGGTTAATTGGTTGTGGTGTAGCTATAACTCTGAAATTCTGAAAATTTTGTTATTACTTAAGTATTTGTAGCTCTGTTTAACCAAATAATTGCTGTGTCTGTGTTGCTGAAAGAAAAATAATCTGGATAATATATTTTTTGAACCTACAGGACTCAATTAACCATTTGTTTTGAAGAAGTTTAGTCAATGGAAAAAGAGGTTTTGGAGGTTTAACCCTCGTTAAATTGTAATCCTGACTGCGAGGAGCAACGAAAACTGGACTTGTAATATGGAGGAAATAGAGGCATTGTGGAAAGAAGTAAGGGAGCTAAGTCTAGGCGAGTCGGGAAGAGTGGAGCGGTTGGAGTTCCCACCCACCCCTCTCCAATTCCTTAGAGATTATGTTAACCATAACAAGCCCTGCATTATATCCAATGCCACCCTCCACTGGCCCGCCCTCTCCTCCTGGACCGACGATTCTTATCTCACTGAAGCCCTCTCCTCTGCTGACATTTCCCTTCACCTTACTCCGCACGGCCAGGCTGATGCCCTCGTCCCCTTGGATGGTTCTCTTTGCTTCGCGTCTGCTCACGTGCAGCGCATGCCCTTCCCGAAAGCTCTCAGCCTCATCACCAACAATGAGTCCCAATCGAAACTGGTGGCCTATGCGCAGCAGCAGAACAACTGCTTTCCATCAGAGTACTCGGCTTTAGCTGGGGATTGTGACCCCCATATCCCATGGGCCAGTGAGGCCCTTGGCTGCCTCCCTGATGCAGTCAACATGTGGATTGGCAACCATCTGTCTACAACATCGTTTCATAAGGACCACTATGAGAATCTCTATGCTGTCGTGACTGGGCAGAAGCATTTCCTGCTCCTTCCTCCTACTGATGTGCATCGAATGTACATCCGTGACTACCCATCTGCCCAATACTCATATTCCCATGACACTGGAGAGTTCACGTTGGAACTGGAGAAGCCAGACAGATATGTGCCTTGGTGTAGTGTCGATCCTTACCCTTCTCCCGAGGACAGAGATAAACAGCTCTCTAGCTTTCCTTTGTATTTTGACGGTCCTAAGCCCTTTCACTGTACTGTCAACCCTGGAGAGATTCTATACTTGTAAGTTTCTGCCTTCATTATTTCTCTCATCTGTTTTTGTTCCTTTGTCTATATTAATCTCACCAGACTTCAGTCACTTCCAGTTTTGTACAATTCTGGGCATTCTCATTGCAGTAATTTGATGCCTAGTCCTTTCCTCTTTGGATATCATCTTTATTTGGTAAACCGCATGTGTAAGATACTCAAATTAAAAGAATTCACAGATTAAGGTGTCCATGTTAACGAAAAAAAGATGTGCATTATTATTTGTTGTTTTATACTTCTATATGCTCCATAATATTTTCCAAAGCCTGATATGGTAGAGTCAATGCAGGCCAAGCATGTGGTTTCATCACGTTAGACAAACTCCAGATAGCAGAGGACGCACTATTGCTGTGAACTACTGTAAGGGATCAAGCACTTTTCTCACTTTTTAGGTTCCACTTTTTATGTGGTGAAATATGATGTTCCATGATCATTGGCAGGGTATGATATGCAGTATGACATCAAGTATGCTTACTTCAACTTTTTGCAATCAATTCATTGCCTATCTGTTAAAACTCCAACACTGGTTGAGACAGTGCATGAGGATTCAGGTTCTGATGCATGGGCGTGTATATGAAGGAATGAGTTGGATGCTGATTGATCTATTGCTCATTTAGCAGTGAACAGAGAAGACTTAAGATGAGTGATGGAATGATCACCGATCATTAGTATGGGTATCGGATTAGTCGTTTGTGGACTTCTCAAATTGGGAGCAAAGATGTCTCTAAAGGAAAACAATGCAGCATCCTTGAGGTTGGGAAATTACAATAGTATTAGTCAATATAACCTGTTGCTACTTCATTGATCCCATTATCTCAAAAGATAAGTCATAAGAATGTTGGTTTTATTTTGTCTTTGAAGTTTATGGCTATGTTGAAGATTTCTGTATTGTTTCCTTGAGAATTAACTCATGAAGATCATCCTATGAAATAATTTCCGACATTTAGTTGTCTGAGGTCGTGCTGGAAACTTGAATCATTTCATGTATTTCTGCATATACATTCTTCCACATCCCCTCCATCGCCCTCCTTCTACCCTTCTTTATCATTCTCCTTTCCCTTATATTTTCTCAAAAACAATAAACTAAACACAAAATGGTTACTAAACAACAGACCGTTAGCTAATCTATAAGTCATAACATGATATGTCAACTTAATTGCGGTTGCCAAATGGACCTTTAACTAATCGATAATCATAACATGATAAATCAACTTAATTATAGTTACCAAACAGATATTTAGAAATATTTCAGGGAAAAAAAAAAGCATGCCCATTTGTATCGATTCCAAGTTTCCAACCACAAAGTTTGAAAACAGATCAAAGCGGATATGTAATTCATTACAAAAAGTGTTGCTAATTAGGATGCTGTATTACTGTCAACTTTTATGAGTGTTTTTGCATCTATTACCTTTCTTTTTATCTGTGTTTGTAGTAAACTTTTGTAGATCAAATACTAATAATTATTTAAGTTCAATTACATGTCTGAGTTTTATATGTTCTTGGCTTTTATTACATGTATACCTACCACGAAATGCTTGTGTAAACCTGGGGTTTGGGTAGTATTTGATCTTACTGATCCGTTTTCGTTCAGTTTGACCTAAATGTTAGTCTTCGCTTATGGACTCGTGATTGGTGAGCATTCTAGAAGTGATGGAAGTATCATCGATTAACTATTGACTGCTGTTAGTTTGTGGATTGTTTAGTCAAACATTGCAAAAACACGACGGATTCAAATGTCAGTGGTTATATCTTCTTTCTGGGGAGGTGTGAAACCGCGAGTTGTTAGGTTTCATGACTTTGGGTCTGAGTTGCTTGGTTTAACCTTTTGTTCTCATGTTGTGTTTGTTTTGTTGAGGTCTGCTGTTGATCTATATCTACTGGTTGTGTTCTGGGAGTAGATTGTGTTCTGGGGCCATCTGGCCTTCTGAATTGTAATTTACTCCTCAACACTATACTTCCTAACTTGACAACACGGGTAATTAATATTTTGCAGCTTTCGGCAAGGAGCTGTGTTGTTCGGGAGGATCAGCTGTGGGATGTTTAACTACCCCTAGTGGGAGTCCATGGAACTGCTGCATGATGCTGCCACCACAAGGGAAGCTCGGGGTGGCTGTAGACACTAGTGAAAAAAAGGCCTGCTTGAGCACTCATATTCTGTAATTGTTATGCTACATGTTTACTTTTATCCCAATACATTTTCGGCAAGTTCATACGTGCTGCAGCTTATGATTACATTTTGCCACCCAGTGCTAGTTTTTCGTCTACTTACGAATAAATATGTTGCGTCGTAACTTCGTAATGTTTATCTGTTTTGGCTACAGAGCCACGATAATGGCTCTTTATTTGCTTCAATGAAACACAAATTTACAGCAGTCTCAATCTCCTCGGAAGCTAAAAAAAGTTCCAGGAGAAGAATGAAAATTGCAAAAACAACATAATGCAGTCCCGGAAACGAGCAATGACTTCACTTTCAAGGCTCTTTATTCTTCTAAATCTCAAAGAAAATGTAGACCGCCATACGGTCATAACAAGCTATTTAGCAAGATTGGCTTCTGTAATCCCGGGAGAGATGACACGAAGATGTTTTGTAAATCGACGACCGCGGGGTTGGATCCACCGCAAAATCACATTCTTCCTCAAAAATTGTATCCAGCATTTTTGTCAACGGGCGTTTGCTTACCGAAATGAACTGTGGTACAGCAACTTCTGTAACGAGTACCCTTGGTGTTTGGAACTTTACCATTCCTTCCATTGCAATGGAGTTATGGAATTATGACAATTGGAAAGGGAAAATTGGGAAGCTAGAGGAAGATGGAGAGGTTGAGATAGTATATGCTGCAATGAACAATGTTCTGGGGTTTTATAGGGGTTTTAGAGATTGAAATTTGGCTGTTACTTTTGTCTTGATGGCTACATCTAAGGACATTCAGTATCTTTTCCAATCCACCCTTAATATCTAACTAATGAGTCGACGTTCTAATGAAACTAGTTTAGTCTATAAAGAAAGGGATTTGAACTTTAATGCAAGAAAGCTGACAGCTGGTCTAACTCACAACTGTAATAAGAATTGTCGATAACAATATCATTTTTATTTTTTAGCTTTCATTTTTACATTAAGGGTAAAGGGAAAACATTAGATAAAGGAGGGATGGTGGTGAGACGGAGGGGAAATGAAGAACATTGCATGAAACAAAAATTTGAATAATTTAATGTATGTCTCCATATACATTAATTCTTCCACGTCTCCTTCGTTGTCCTCCTTCTACCCTTCTTTATCATTCTCCTTTCTCCTTTATTTCCTCAAAAACAATAAACTAAACACAAAATGGTTACTAAACAGATCGTCTATAAATCATAGGGATACTTTGGATGCGGTCCTTAATCCTTAACATTTTTTTACTAGAACCTTAATAGTATTCAAAGTTTGATCAAAGTCCTTTGACTTTGTACACCTCATTATATTACAATTAATATTTATAGTTTTGACATTAATTGTTTGATATTTTATGAGATTTATAATCCTATAAATTTAAAATCCCTCATTATAATACTATTAGAAACGGTTACAATAAAAAAATTCAAACATTTTGATTAAATAAGTGGATAAAAACTATGTAAAAATAAGAAATAATAAATGGCAAAAGAATGTATCCATAGTGTTAAAAAAATTGGTACATTAATAAAGAAGAATGGGTACATTATAAATAAATTATGGTACAAATAAAAGATTAAAAAATTATGAGTACAAATGAATTTTTAAAAAATATAGGCGCTAAAAGAATTAATACGTGGGTACAAAATAAAACTAAAAAGAAAATACTACAAATTAAAAAAAATGTTGCAAATTAAGGTACAAAACTAAAAATATAAATAATATGATACAAAGTTTAGGCATAAAACATAAATATACCATATGTAATTTTTCTATCATTGATTAAATATACAATGTCACGTGACGGTATACATACGTGTACAAACACAAATAAAACTTTAAAAAATATGGGCACAAAAAGAAACTAATGTATGGGTACAAATTAAAAATGAAAAAAAAATTTGGTACAAATTAAAAATAGGTACAAACTAAAAATAAAAATATATGATAAAAAATTTAGCCATAAATATAAATATAGTAATTGTAACATTTTTAACACTAAAGGAATATATTTAAAAATAAAAAATATTTTATATTCAAATAATTAATGATGTTATTAATACCCAAGGACATTGATCAAAAATTAAAAATGAATAGGATTTTAATCAATGGAATAACAAAAAGAAGGATGTGAACCTAATTTCTCCTAAATCATAACATGATATGTCAACTTAATTATGGTTACCAAATAGACCTTTAGCTAATCAATAATCATAACATGATAAGCTCACTTAATTATAGTTACCAAACAGATATTTGGAAACATTTCAGGAAAGAAAAAAAAGCATATCCTTATATTGATTCCAAGTTTCCAACCGAAAAGTTAGAAAACAGATCAAAGCGGATATCTAAATTGTTACAGAAAGTGGATGAGTACGAAGTGTAGGGTTTGTTTTGAGGAGGGACCAGTTGGGTGCGTGTGGTTGGAACCTGTAGCAGCATCAGCACGGCACCTAGCTGCAGACAAGTGCCAAACTTATGAAATGTAGTTTCCACCAAAAAGTGTGTATTGTAATGTTCTCTTCAAACAACTAGAAGAGTTTGCATGAAATGAATTCATCGCCACGTTATGTTTTTGTCTGATAATGTATTTAATTATGAAACAGAAAATAGAATTGTTAGAATGACAGTAAACCATTCCATGTTGTTCTTTCTCCAAAGAAAATAGAATTGCAGCATCGCATCGCATGTGTGACCGGACTTCTTTTCTTATGGCAGCGGTAGATCATGCATGGATAAAGTAGGTTGAATGCAAACTTTATAATAAGGTTTTAAGGCCCATCGTTTAGCTTACTACACTCCATATGTGAATGTAGAAAAAAATTGTAAAATGATTCATTTTTAGAGTGCATATGGCTAAAAAATAATTATCGAAATCGTATCTTAACATAAAGAGGTGCATGCAGAAAGAGTGTCCAAAGTCACTTCCTGACCTCCTCTATGATCATGACTTCAAGCTTGTAATAATGTAGTATGTTGGAGGAAACATATACAGGCACAAGCTACCGGTAGGGATGTGGGAATGAGTTGTGTTCGAGTTTAGTCATTTATATTTATGTCGTGTTTATATCAATTCATAGGTTGTTCAACATGCAAAATGATATAAAAATAATAATATGATGATACAATATACTCATATTATGAGTTTGGTAGAATGATAATAGTTAATCGTGTTTTAATAATGCACACATTGGATCTATATTCATACGAATTTTGAGTTGTGTAAGGTATTGTGTCGATTAATGTTTAGACGTTTGAAAATTAAGAAAGGGCGCATAGACCTGCTGAGGTGCCCGCCTAGACCGCTTAGGCACCCATCTAGCCCACCCAAACCCGTCTAGACACTTGCCTAGGTTGCAACTCACTTAGATAGAAAATAGATAACTTTCCTTTTGCATTTTATTGTTTCCAATAAATTGTAAGAGACTTATTGAACACTTAAATAAACACACATTATATGTTTGTTCCCCATGTTTTCAATATGTTCCAATACTTCATAATATATATGACATTCTATTTTCTAGTTTATGATGAAATTATGTATATTTTTTAGGTATAAATAGACACTTATTTACATGAAATACAATAAATTTACTTAAATCTGCCTAACCCTCGGCCCGACTAGCGCCTAACGTTTTTTTAGAACCTTGCAAGAAAGTGATTCAGTAACATTCGATTTCTTTAGATCCATGTGCTGTCTTTCAGGTCTCAACCTGTTTTTGGTTTCCTCATATCTAATCTTGCTACAAGTAAATGGCACTGGAGTCTGGACCAGATCGTGTTGTGCCTTTTGTCATGTTCTTTTGTGGTTGATTTGATTTTGTTGTCAAATTCTTGTTAACCTGTTTTGTGTTTCCTCATATCTAGCTCAATGAGCATTCATATATTTTTCGACATCCCAACCTACAAGTTTATTTTCTCTTCTTGACTGCGAAATGGAATTAAGCAGTTTGAAAAAGAAAAAAAAAACAAAAAAACAAAAAACATTAAGGAGACTTTTAGGATGGACCATTAGAGTGTGGTGGGAAATTCCAGCCGCATCAGCACGGCACCCGCACAAGACAAGATCCATCACATGTTTTGGTCGACTTGTGATCCTCTCGCAATCCTTTGATCGATGCCTAACGAGCTTATTATAAAATTTTGTATAATGTATGCACGCATGCCTAGGTTTCTGATTTTTTTATTTTGTATTTATATTACCTAGGGGTTTACATATTATATGCTCTCAAGGATATAAACTAATGAAAATTAATGAAAAAAACTTGAAAATTTTGAGTTTTAACGATAAGAACAAAATAAAAATATAAAGTGAATAGTATCAGGATTGATTTTTTAGTGTAAAAATATGGTTTTTCGTTAAAGTGAACAATAACAGAAGTTTTTTCGTTAAAGTTTTCTATAAACTATGTATATTACAAAGATGACAAACATAAATCAAGAAATAGTACAATATTGCAGATAACTTTGTAATTAGATAGTGAGTTTTACAATTTGTTGATGGCAATATTTGGTTCACAATAGTACAACTGTAAAAACCAAAATTATATAAACAAACGGCTAAAATTGTTATGCATCAAATATATACTAGAAATTGTAAAAACTAAAAAGACTTGTTTCATGTTAACATTATTGTTCTCAAAAGTGTAAACACATATTGCGCAAGACAATCTCGGCAGTAGTGGATCAGATGTATGATTTTTACTATGATGGGTCATGGTGTAAAAGTTGCGAAATTTCTTTTAGACAAAAATATTGAGAAATTTAAATTGTAACGAAATTTACCTCTTGAAGATGCATACTTATATATAAGTGAAACAAATAAAATGAAAAAAAAATCAAGATTGGTGCAAAACACATAAATTAGAAAGTTATTAGCACTCAAGTCATATAGTATCTTTCTATTAAACGTTTAGGTGAAAGATCGGTGCAAAATGATTCTTTTAAAGTAATAATAACAGTTTTTAAAACTTAAATAAAAGTTTCGAATATATAACCAGATAACAAATTATGTATTAAGCAAAAAAAAAAGTTTCATAAATTGTATAACACCGTTCAGTAAAAATGAAACAAAAAAAATGTACTAGAATGTGATTTTGATTTATGTACTGTATACATGACAAACCAACCTTTTTTTTTTATTTTTTTTATTTTTTGGGAAACATGACAATCTAACTTTTGTTCCAACATATATAGGCTGGGGAAGATGAGCTTTGTCTGTATCTCAAGCTCCCACCCTTTAGTCTGGAGCGAGCAGATTTCTCTAGTGAGCATTATGGAGTCCAGCCTATCACAGCTAACTAGCGAAATTGTTCATCCAGTTTGTCTGGCATCCACAGGATCACATAATCACATGATCATCCCTTCGTGTTTCCACCGAGTTTCAGTATTGCTCCAATATCTCAGATTGTGGGATGTGCGACTTAGGTAGAGCCACGATGAACACATCAAATTTCGATAGAACGAAAAAAATGCAAAATTTTCCCTCAAAATTTCATATGATTTGGATTGATCAAGTAGGAAATTAAAAAAATTAAAATGAAACCATCCTCCGAAAGTTCCTTGTGTGAAACTCTTTCTTAATTTATATTTTGAATGAAATAGACATGGCATATATTGACCCAAAAAAATGCACACTACATGGTTATATCTCAATATCATGCAATCTACATGGTTATCGTCTTCTATTAAAAAAAGGCTTATCACATTATTCTGATTAATTATCTATGAAAAAAAAAATCTTAATTTGGTACATAGTTTTGAGACAAAGTGGTTTGAGTGTGAATTTGTTGCGACATTGATGTAACAGCGAATAACAGATATACCTATTTGCACGCAAGATATAACGGCGAATAAGAGTATGAAAGATATACTCTATGGGTGCGTTTGTTGCACCGGAATGTCTCGGACTGGACTAGCTTCAGGGATTAAGCTGGACTGGCTTAGACTAAACTAAGCTGGACTAGCTTAGTGAAACGTTTGGTGCAATGTTGGACTAAAAAGCAGGGTAATGAAAACAGTATTATCACCAGTTTCTCTTCGTGACTATACATCGTATATTATAAGTCATAACCTTTGCTGCTGAACAACTTTAAAGTAATTTTCATACAGGTATCTCCAAGATAAATAAAAACAGAGGAATTAGAATTCTCTGCTTCGAATGATTAACTCATGGAATCGTGCCATGCGAGGGAGATTAAACCTGACGTTATGTCATTAACAACTTTCATGTGATTATTAACCCATGAAAAAGGGAAGGCAGAATTCAAGCAAATGGGTCATTCAACAGGTACGACTATTAAGCTTTTACGGTAAAGAAATTTGAAGAGAAAACTGACAGCAGCCAAACACGGGCAGATGATGCATATGCTTAGGAGTCAAGACTATCATTCCGCCCCAATCTCAGCAAATGAAGCATCAGTTGCAGAAGTCTGGTCTTCTAATAGCTTCGCTTGGTGTTCTGCATGTTCTCTTTCACACTGAGTGATTCCCATTATAATGTCAAGCATGGTACCTGTTGTGCCGAAAAACACAAGCGGTGCTAAAGTTTCCTTTTTATCCCCACTGGAATAGCTAACAAAGCCCCTGCTACGGAGAAAACCCAAGTGCCCATTGTGCTGCAGATAGCCATGCACAACATCATTCTACTACACTTTAAGCTAGAAAATAAATCAGAATAAACTTAAATGGGAAAGATTGTATCTATGATGCCAAAGAGAAGTACGGCCTGTGAACCATAAAGTGAAATTTGCCATGCTCTAATGAAGTTGAGTGACGTATTGCTGGTTTAGCCAGATTTTTCTGATAAACACATAATTTCTCTCTTTCGTGTAACGGCATGGGTCAACGAGACAATTAAAACAATTAAACTGAGTAGAAACCTCTGCAGGATTGCGAACCATAAAATTGTGGAAGAAAACATCACAAAAACTGTGTATGGAGTCCAATGAGTCAATAACTAATACTAACGGGAGCAAAAAAATGCTTGAATCACTTGTACAAGTTTTGGTAGACAGGTCTAAATTCTCCATGATAGCTAGAAGTCACTATAGTCAAATGTACAAGTATCCTGGTTTATAACAAAATCTTAAAGTTCAACACGAAATTGGTGATCTCCTAGCTCCACGAGGATTTGTTAATATCAATTTGTTTGATATTCCTTTTGAAAGGTGAACTCCAATATGTATAAAATTGTAATGATTAAATTGTTCAAGATATGCACAGCTTAAGAGTATCTGAATAACGAAGAAAAACTTTTGGATCAAAATAATAGAACATCTATGGTTATGTGCAACAAGCAGAACCTTCCAATAAGATAAATCCGTTGATGAAAGCTTCAGAAAACGATTACTCACAAAATTTTCCAAAGAGAAGCTTCCAATATGTTAAATATTCACTAGAAAACAAGTGGCACCCTCAAGGGCTGAAGAAATGGTTTTCCTTCTAGGTCTGAAGCTGAAGAAACGGTTAAATATTCGAATACAAAGCTCAAAAAAGATCAAGTATGATCAGAATAGGTAGAGAGGCTTCTTCTTAAATCTTAGCTCATCGCATAATTGTTCAACACATCCAATCCAACTAGATACCCCGTCACTGCCAATACAATACCAGTCATCATGGACATGATACATCCCTAATCCACTGCTAAGATCTCCATAAAAGGGTGAATTTCTCACACATTCCACTCAAAGAACCACAAAAATTGAAAACATCCATAAGCTGCGAATGGATTCCCGAATGTTAAATTCTTAATAAGTATATCCAAAAAACTAGTTGCAGTTAGTGACCTAGTGCCGTTCTACTAAGTTTGATAATTATGAATATTGGATTATAGTTAATCACCAAAAACCCTAAAGAAACTCAAAATCCCATTGAAATGCATAAACAAAACCGAAAGGAATGAACAAAAAACAATTGAATTCGGAAAATTAAAAAAGTACCCATTGAAATGCAAGGCAAACGAAGCTCACATGATCATACCATCGCCAGCGATACAGGTCCGTCGTCAATTGTTTATATGTTGGACGGCTACAAGGTAATGTGACAAGAAAGGAGAAGGGAAAGGGCGAAGGTGCGAAGGGACGAGGAGCAAGCTGCAGTTGCTGCGGTTGATGTGCGAAGGTACGAAGGAGAAGGGAGATGACGGGATTAGTGGGCGGCTTAGCAGTCCTCTCCGAATCAGTGGGGGGCCTCGCCAAGACCTGTTAGCGAGGGACTCAGTCGAGGCGAGTCCCTCCTCATCCCATTAAACTTAGTCCGGGTAGGAAACAAACACAAGACTGGACTAAAACTTAGTCCAATCCAGTCCAATGAAAGATAGTGAGTCCAAACAAACACACCCTATGTTTCTTGAATCAATCTCATCATGCATAGAGGTAAACTATAGATCTAACTTATCACACACATTGAAATTTGTTGAAAGGCATTTTTAATTTCCCGTTTTCTAGTTGTTTTCTTTAATTTTTTAGGGGTCACTTAATAGCCATTTTGAACATTTTTTTAGTTTTCAAATTTTCACTTTTCAGAAACTGAAATTTTGTTTGATAACTACTTTCAATGAAAACTGAAAACCAAAAAGTGAAAACTCAAGAAATAGTTTTCAGTTTCAATTTTGTGCAAACTTGATATTGATAATAGTTACCCAACAAGATTTTAGTTTTCAAGTGAAAAATAAAAACCTAACAATTGAAAACGAAATGATTATCAAAATGCCATTTAATTAGAAAAAGGTGGGGTAGACTGGAACTAGGCTTTACATATTTTAAAGAATACGAGTGGACCCAGGACTTACATATTTTAAACAGAACCGACTGGCCCGACCCATTTAACTCTTAAGGCCAGATGGTATAGGGCCAAGTAGTACTTGGGCCGCTACACCTTGGGCTCATGTTGGCCTTCCCGATCCAATCTACAGCCTACTGGAAACTATGGGTCCAACTCACTGTGCATATCAAAGTCAGTTGAAGGCCTTTTCAGTGTCCCACTTATAGATTATTTTCTTTGTTTTATTTTCTATTATATTTTTTTACAAGCAATATTGAAGGACATTAATTGAATCAATGATTTCAATTATATATTCTTTTTAAGACGAATTTAAATTATATTATTATTAACCTATTATGAGATTGAGCCACTTCATTTTTTAATGTAAAAAATATCATTCGTTAAAATATATATATATATATATTTAGGAAAAACCCAAAAGAAAATTACAAGAATATAATCTATTAAGTACAACATATAGGCAAAACCCAAAAGAAAATTATAAGAATTTCAGGATTTTGATGTCGAAAGCAGTGACATAATCAGATCCAATCGAACGATCTCGAATGTGCCCACAGAAAGAAAAATAGAATATCTCCATCTCTGTAGTCCATTGACTACTGCCCCTTTAGTTTTCCCTTCCAACCATTGGTCTATAAATACACACAACCCCCAACCACTACCTCCACCGCCACTCCACGGCTGCATATCTAAGCTAACCTTCTGCAACCCTTTTGCAAATTTGTATCAAACAGTTCAGATTTCAACCTTCAATGGCGGATGAGGTGGTTTTGTTGGATTTCTGGCCCAGCCCGTTTGGGATGAGGCTGAGGATCGCTCTGGCTGAGAAGGGCATCGAGTATGAGTACAAAGATGAGGACTTGAGGAACAAGAGCCCACTGTTGCTGCAGATGAACCCGGTTCACAAGAAGATCCCGGTTCTCATTCACAATGGAAAGCCCGTCTGTGAGTCCCTCATTGCGCTTCAGTACATTGATGAGGTTTGGAATGACAAGGCTCCACTCTTGCCCTCCGACTCTTACCTCAGAGCTCAGGCCAGGTTCTGGGCTGACTTCGTCGACAAGAAGGTGATTTTTACTCATTAATACTTATTTTTGTTTTGAATATGTTTGGTTTGAATTGAAACAATTGAACAATGCTGTATTAGAATTTTAAAATTATAAGTGTTTAGGGTGTAATGATTTTACCACTTAGGATTTGTATTAGAAGGGAAATTAAATGGAACTGGATCTCTGTTTATGTTTTCGGGTTAAGATTTCATGTTACGGTTTCGGGTTTAAGGTTTAAGCTTTAAGGTTTAAGGTTTAAGGTTTGTGATGTATATTTAGAAAGATATAAGCGGAAGATCTGAACTTGCCCAAAACAATGTATATTAATTTCCCCGAAATTTGGGATGTGAAATGCAGATATATGATATTGGGAGGAAGTTGTGGACAACCAAAGGAGAAGAATATGATGCAGCAAAAAAAGACTTTCTCGACTGCATCGGCGTGTTAGAAGGAGAGCTCGGAGACAAGCCCTTCTTTGGCGGGGATACCCTCGGATTTGTGGACGTCGCGCTAATTCCGTTCTATAGCTGGTTTCTTGTGTATGAAAAATTTGGCAACTTCAGTGTTGAGGCAGTGCACCCAAAGTTTATTGTCTGGGTTAAGAGGTGCATGGAGAAGGAGAGCGTGTCCAAGTCGCTTCCCGACCAGGAAAAGGTCTACGATTTTGTCGCACTTATGAGGAAAAAGTTTGGAATTGAGTAGATTTTGCTACCTCTTTTGGGTTGTTGAATTAGAATAAAAGGGCACTTGACCAAGCCTTGTACTGTATGAGGCACTTTATTGTGCCTCTGGTCGTTTATTTTGCTTTTGTCAAGTTACCACACTTGTCAACTTGTTATGTAAGGGATCTAAATCTACTTGATCAAATTTCTTATTTTGTTACTACATATCGAATGATGGATTATTGGCTGTCACCAGTTGCATTTAATCGTGAGTCTATCTCTCTTATCAGGTAACAAAGACTTATAAAGACTTATGATTGTATGCAACAGTGAATTTTCTCTTTATCCAACTTCGAGTCAACATTTTTCAATCATATGAGATCATGTGCAGCAGACCCAGCAAAAGATCTCACCTGAACATCTCGACAGAAAAACAAACTGAAAAGAAAATGAACTAGAAGAACGCATCCTAACATTCATCATCGAACTTTTAACACGGTGATTAGGACACATCTCAAATACATAAAATCTCGTCCGACTCCTCCATTGTTGACTTGACGCATAAACTTCTTGCAGATCAATTTGCTTCTTGCCAAATATCTAACACCTGCGTTTCAGTCTCACTTATATTGGCCAATTCTTGTTTCATAATCTATATTAAGTCAGCCAGTAATATTTTCTACATAAACATTTTTATTCCTGTAATTTGATTCATATTTCATTTTTGTTGATACAGTGCACACCTTGTCAACAACTGATTTGGTCATACCTATATGAACCTACTTCATGGGATCCCTGCACTAAACCAACTTTGCCTTTTGAAAATTCATAGTGCTCTTCATTAATCAGAAAGGAGGCGAAAATACAGCGACACCCTAATGAGACCCCCTTCCGATGTTGAACCATCACTCGGACTAGAACACCACAAATACACTTCAATGATTTTAAAAACAACCAAAACCTCATTTTCAAAGAACTCCATTTACCAACAAGTGACTTACATTTCAATTTGATTTAAACCAAAATTCTTAGGATTTTGAACGACCAGTGCAACAATAACAATCTGACAACCCCACAACGACACTCCAATGATACTCTCCATTTTATGATTTGAACTGGCACAACCACAACAACAATCTGATGACGTCACAATGACACTTCAACGATATATACTCTCATTTTTATGATTTTGAACCAACACAGCCACAATAACAATTTGAAGATGCCAAAACGACACCCCCATTTTTTTGATTTCGAACCACCTCAGCCACAACACTTCATTCAAGGAACCCTCTCCTTCTTCATTCCCTAACCACCACAACCAAATTTCAAATACCAAAAAAAAAAAAAAATCAAATAATTGAGCCAAAGCAAGATGAAACAGAGAGGGGAAGAAGAAGAATGGATACGGGAGGTGGAGCAATAAGAAGCTTACCTCCTTTCATGGTGTTCCAAATGTTATTTACCGCTCCAAATTCGATTAGTCAAGACGGCGCAATCGAAAAATGGATTTGAGAGTGTTGTTGGGTGTTGGAAGATTTTTTATCAATGAAGAACATGATGTCCAATAAAAAGATCAATGAAGGGTAGTGTGGACTTTTCACATGAAAATTTGATCAAAAGAACAATTTTTAATAAGTGTGATAAAAAATACAACAAATGTCAAAACATGTCTATTTTGACTAATTGCCGTATAATCTTCTAAGGTCATAATTGGATCTAGCCTTCAACAAAACCACTAAACTAAAAGCTAGTGACAATAACCCATAAGTAAATATTACTATAAAAGCGACCAAGAGTGATAATAAAACTTGGCAAAATAAATTTATATTGATAGTGGAGGTCAGATCTGCTCCATATCGAACTTGGCTTTCTCGTGCTATTAATTGTAGACACTTTTGATATTGCTGTGGTGTGATTGTTGTCACTGACCTTTAATGAGTCAAGGACCTATGAGTTGATTGGTGAATAAGATCTAAAAATGTGTTTTCACTAATGTAATATAAATAGGTGGTTATTCTAGCATTACTCTTCATATACAATTGCATGATTCAAATCTTTTTTGTAACCTTCTTCATGGCCTGGAATTATACAACTGTTTTTTTTCCCTAATAGTTCTTATTACACCTTTACTTGATTTGCATCACTTCCTTTATGTTAATAAAATTAGACGATTGCACATGCTTCCTTACGGACCCAAAGACAACATTTTTTTTTAACTATTCTAGTTCCGTGTGGTTGAATGGGATTACAAGGTTTAGGGTTTTAGGGATGTAGCACACCCCAACTTCATAGCACAATCGACGTAAAAATATTCTGAAAATTCATCCACGCCAAAACAAACCTGGAGTATAATGTCCTGATTCCAACTTCCGATCGTATTTTTCGTCTCCATCCATCTGCAAAAAGTAAAATCTCGTTGTAAAAATTAATGTAAAGTACAGTAATCTACATTGATCGAACTAGGAACCAAATAAGACAATAACAACCTCTAAATCTTCAACTTCGAGCCGGTCCATCCACTCTGTTTCTCCTTTAACTCTATCCGAACACTAGAAGAAACTATAAAATGATAGCATTACATCTTAAGTACATTTATAATACACAGATTTGATGTGTGTCTGAGGAAATCTTTTAGGATTGCAAATTTGCTAAAATATATTGGAAAATAATCAAAAGAAAATCTAACCACTGAAAGTTTAACTGCAATTACCTGAAAAAAGTTTTGAAACATTACCTTCACCTGCCACATAATTTGCATTGACTTTTCTGCTACCACCAACAAAAGTGATAATAACTAAAGACTCCCGTAACTGCAATTAAAAACCAATGTGAGTGTTGAGAAAAAGAACAACAGGTTCAGTATCATGATATGTCTAACAACCAGAAAGCCCTTGAAGCTAAAGCCTAAAGAAGTATTATATCGTAGCGACCACTGGTGTCTTTGAGACTTCAGATTTGAAAGCCTGCCTGTGAAATCACAGGTAGTGATTCTTCCAGTATTTCCTGAGCATTGTCTCCACATCCAACAGTCAAAGCCAATATTCCTAAAGGAACTTTGACTCTAAAAACTACTTAGCCTAGGTGGCGCACAAGCTGAATAACTAATAAACTAACTATGTTCTTCGGTTGAATGCGGAGCGTGCCAACTCGTCGGCCAAGCTCGGCTGGGGAGTGAATAAATGTTGATGTGACGTTGGGCACTGATGACTTCTGAATCTTGCGACTGCGGCCGAGAAAGGAACATGTCTCGGCCCTTTGGGTTCTAGAGCCTGAAGACAAGGCTGTTAATTCAGTAGATCGACGATCGCAGGGTTGGATCCACCGCAAAATCACCTTCTTCCTCAAAAATTGTATCCAACATTTTCGTCAACGGGCGTTTGCTTATTGAAATGAACTGTGATACTGCAACTTCTGTACGAGTACTCTTGGAGTTTGGCACTTTACCATTCCTTCCATTGCAATGGAGGTATGGAATTATGACAATGCAGTTCTGGAAAGGGAAAATTGGGAAGGTAGAGGAAGATGGAGAGGTTGAGAGAGAATATGCTGCAATGAACAATTTTCTGGGGTTTTGTAGGGGTTTTAGAGATTGAAATTTGGCTGTTACTTTTGTCTTGATGGCTACATCTAAGGACATTCGGTACTTTCCCAATCCACCCTTAATATTTTAACAAATGAGTCCACGTTCTAATTAAATTAGTTTAGTCTATGAAGAAAGAGATTCGAACTTTGATGCAAGAGAATTAACGAGCTGGTCTAACTCACAGATGCACTATAAGGATTGTCGATAACAATATCATTTTTATTTTTTAGCTTTCATTTATACGTTAAGTGTAAAGGGAAACTATTAGATAAAGGAGAGATGGTGGTGAGACGAGGAGGGGAAATGAAGAACAACGCATGAAACCAACTTTGCCTTTCGAAAATTCATAGTGCTCTTCATTAATCGGAAAGGAGGCAAAAATACAACTTTACCCTGTTGAAGAACAATTCAGAAATAAACAAAAATAACATAAACTCTAATATTTTATTAACCAAAATATACTTGCTATGCAAAACGAAAATTATACAATAATACAAAAATTAATATTACTAACTTGATTACAGAAGATAGAGGCTAGCGTAAAAGCTATGTCATTCGAACAGTATTTACGTCCCACTCCTGTGCTTGTGGTTCTACAACGTCTGCTCGACCAGGATTCAACTACCTAATTCTATAATCCGCACTGGATTCTAGAACTCTAGCGAATTTTCTTTTTGTGGGTTTACTCTTTGAAAATTTCATACAGAAGAAAGAAGGAAGAAAAAGATAATTCATTTGGATACTGTGATTGCAGATATATAGGTTGTTTCACACTCTTTCAAATACCAGTTCAGTGTATGTGAAGGTACACAACTCTTTCTAAGAGCTGTGTCTTTTAATCAAAACGTTTTTAATTAATAAATTAATTAAAAACTTAATCCGAAAATTAAAAATAATGAATCAGCCTAATCCACACAATCATAAGGCCCAAGCCTTCAATCCATTTCCAAATGGCCCATGTTGTAATTACTAGATTAAAGCACTAAATCTATATAAAGGCTCTTGAGAATCTTGTTTTCCCCAATGTTGGACAAGAGTCTCAAAACTTCCAACATGCCCTTCGATATATAGTTGACTTCATTTTTATTTTTATCATTTTTACTTCTTTATATACAATTTTGGATAATGCATGCCTAGGTTTCTGATTTTTTTTTTAATATTACCTAGGGGTTTACATATTATATGCTCGTGTGAAGATACTTTCAAGGATATAAACTGTGTATATTGCAAAGATGACAAACATAAATCAAGAAATAGTACAATATTGCAAAAAACTTTGTAATTAGGATATAGTGAGTTTTACAATTTGTTGATGGAAATATTTGGTTTACAATATTACAACTGTAAAAACCAAAATTATATAAACAAACAGTTATTCTGATGAAATTATCTATTAAAAAAAGGCTGATCACATTATTCTGATTAAATTATCTATGTAAAAAAAATAATCTTAATTTGGTACATAGTTTCAAGACAAAGTGGTTTGAGTGTGAATTTGTTGTGACACTGATGTAACAGCGAATAACAAATATACCTATTTGCATGCAAGATATAACGGCAAATAAGAGTATGAAAGATATATTCTATGTTTCTTGAATCAATCTCATCACCCATAAAGGTAAACTATAGATCTAACTTATCACACATATTGAAATTTGTTGAATGA